CTCCCACAGTCCAAAGACTTACTGGTAGGTTAATTGGTTTCTGGGAAAATGAGCTCTTCTGTGAGTGGGTGAATGTCTGCGTGTCTTCCCTGCCATGAACTGGGCGTCCCATCCAGGGTGAGCTCTGTCTCGGCTCCTTTGCTTGCCGGGATAAGCTCCGGCTTCCCCACAACTCTTGAGATATTTCTTATCCTGGCATAAAGTGAGTAATCCATTTTAATCCTGAAAGCTACTGTGGCAGAATGGCAGCAGAAGGCAAGAATGAGATCCCTAGTTCAAACATTCGCCAAGTGGCTGTTGGGAAATTACCTGCTGCCCTTTGCTGCTTGACAAGTCAGAGAAAGATCATTGGTCTTAATGATTTCAAAACCAGGAAGAGGAGGATTCCAGAGTAGCCATCTAGATATCCTCTGCAGTGCGCTGCATCAGTGGGAGGAGCTGGATGAGCGTGAGACTGGGTGACAGGGATTTCGTGAATTCGGAGTTGGACTTGGATTTTGAGTTGGATTGATTTTGATTAGACCCTCTTATTGAACCAACATGTCTAATATCTATGAGAGAATGCCTGTGTAAAGTAATAGACATTCAAAGAATAAAGTATTTCTCATCATGCTCTTAGAGGTGTTATCCTGAATATAGAATAACATAGCTTTCCTCAGAAATGTTTCTAATTAGTGTTCTATTTAGCATCTGACCTGCATTCTGGGCTGAAATGAACAAAACTGTTCATAATGAAGTTCAAGTAGGTAGGTGCGTCAGCATTCGTAGGCTGCAAAGGAACATGTATATGTTCATTCCATGCTGAAAACACCTTCATGTGTGGCTTCTATTGCATTGGTTCCTAATTTTGTTTTGTGTTGGGTTTGGTGAAAGGCTCAACCCCTATGTTGTTCTGATTTGCTGTATGCTTACACTACAAAGTGCTCTGGGTATGGTAATAGGCTTCTTAGGCTACACCAGTTGGTCTTTTAGGGACTTTATGAGAGCCAGGTGGCCTTTCTTCCCATTGTCTGGAAATCTCCACAGTACTTTACCAACTGTTACCACATTTTGTGAATCCTTTCCTATGTGTGGTGGCGTTGAGTAAGCACTGCTGCCTCACAGTTTATGGGCCCTGGGTTATGTAATAGATGAGGCACTGCCTGTGTGGAGTCAGTGTGTCCTCCGTTAATGTGAGTTATCACGAATGAGCAGCTTGCCGTGTTGGATGGGTGGTTTTGTAGCTAAATGACTTAAACTCACTATCCATTACTCAACTATCTTTCCGTCTGTTGGTAAAAATGTGGATGAAACCCCTCTTTAATCTAGCTAGACAAACTTTCATGCCAGCTGCTGGGAAATTGTTGCTTTGCTATTAATACAATTAGCCAGCACTTCTTAAATTACGAGTAGTCCATGTTTTTTTTTTCTTTTATAAATGGTAAATAGAAAAGGTATAGGTTTTTTTCCTAATAAAAATAAACATTCCAATATTTTCATATTGGAATGGCCACAGATTTGCTGTGGCTCCGGGGCACTGCAGCTCCCCAGGTTGTGTCATAGGAGTACGGAAGGACTAGACATGGCAGGAGAGCAGAAATTAGAAACGGCAATTAATTCTTCACTTTAACATAAAAAAATTAAATCAATGCCTTTTGAAAGAGAATAAGCAACTGAAATGGCGCATGAGTGCAGTTTGCCTTTATTTTTCTATGAAGTTGGAGCATTTCTGTATGATATAAAAACCTGTTTTTTGTTTCGTGAAGTCTGTATTTAATTTAGAGGTGTGGATTCATTTTCATTTAGTGAGTAATATAGTAATTCACATTGTTTTGCGTAATTTAGAAATAATAAGAGGTGATGCCACTGTAACCTAGATTTTTCAATAATTCTTCCGTTATTCTTAGTGGTAGCTTGCTTGGACAAGAGTGCATGATTGCAAGTGTTGTAACCTGAAAATATCAGTCAGGATGCATTTTTTGAAAACTGTAAAATGTGTATGCTAATAAAGTAGAAGTCACAGGTATGTGCACATGGCTTATATGAAATGGGAGTGAACTTTGGTGGCAATGTGCCCGTTAACAGGACGGGTCAAAACGTAAATGTTTCGGAAAACATCCATTTGTTTTCATTCATGAAGTTTTTAGATGTTTTTTTTTATACTTGCATACCATATTAAATAGCCTCACTATTTAGATTCACATCTATATACTCCTATTAATAAAATAATCTTCAGATGTTCATTAGTTAAAAGTAATGAAAGTCATTACTACTCTTAGTACATTTATTTTTAGAAATTAAGGTTCTGATTCACATGTGCTTCAAATGTCAGTTACTTTTTTTCAGGTCATTCATCCAAGTATAAATTTTGAAGGGCAAGTTAAATTGAATTCCCAAGTATTAGTGCAGGTGGGTTCCTAAGATAAGACATAAGATCACTTTATTGGCCATAAACAATTTCTTAGGAATTTAGGAATTTGTCTTAGGTTAGCCTTAGGTTAAGGATATGTGTTTTTTGATTAACACTAAGCTATAAAGCTTCTGCAGGCATCATCATACTTGATGATTTATTAAATTAAGAGATATATTGAGTGAAATGTCTGAACATGAAGTTGTCAAGTTCTGATGCGCTGAATCAGTGGTCTGTAAAGTCAGGGAGTCTCACTTCATAGACCTCATATCTGCCCAGATGTAAAGTACACTTGAGTGTACATATTCAGCAAATAGATACTTATGACAGACATCCTGAAATATTTACTCTTTTACAGCATTGACATTTATTGAATAATTTTCATTTGGTGTCAGAATATATTGGCTTTTAGCTACATAGTGGCAGCTCTTGACCTTTTTCAGTTTGATGCTGTTATTCTCTGAACAAACACAAGCCTTAGTAAAACAGGAACATTTTGTTTGGAACACTCAGTGGCCGTGACTTTTGACCAGTTTTTGGAAATTGTAGAGCTTTCTACATTTTTTCAAGCCTGCTCAGTTTTTCTACTGTTTACTTCGAGAACCATGCAGCTGTGTTGGTTGAGGTTTACATGTCACTATTTCTATGAACACTAGGGTGGTTTCAGGTGCAGTCCATCTGTTTTTTTTTTTGTAAGCTCCTTTCAGTACTGGTATTGCTGAAATGGCACAGAAAGTGTTTGGCTAGAAAAGGTCCTCACAGCTGTTGTGTGCACACGCTTTGGCCTTTGTGAAGAAAATGCAGTTTTTTAAGTCCTTGAACACCTGTTTCTTGAACTTCCCACCAGTTCTTTTTCATTTCTGCTCTGTGGTTTCATTACTCAGTTATTAAAATATGGTCTTTACAGACATTCTTAAGTAATTCTTTTAAAAGTCCTGTTTTGCATGTTTTCAAACATCAGTTGAAATTGCGATTGTGATTATTGAAGTCAGTCAGTTTGATGTATACAAAATGTTCTTCTGCTTCTGCTTTATCAGCAACACATTACTTCATCCGTATTATTCGCATATACTGAAAATGCAATCTTTTGTAACCTAGGTGTCAAAAGAAAGTCCTCTTTGTACATTTATCTAAAGATTAAGTTGTGAAAGCCATTAAGTGGAGTAAATGGCAATCCCATTTTCATATCTGTTAAGCTGAGAGTGTTGTACATTTTTTTCAGAATGTATTATGAAAGTGAAATTGCTGTTTTTGTATAAGTATAGCAGCAGCTATCTTGTCTGACATGATAGAATAAAATGTTGCAGAATAGTTTGTAATGTTCCAAATGTCTTAAAAAATCACCTTCTGCTCTGGAATGTAAAAGCAGTGTACCAAAGACTGCTTGTAACCACTCATCAAGGCCAGCAGCCATGTCACCCTGCAACTGACAACTCCACTGAAGCTAAGCAGGTGTGAGCCTGGTCAGTACCTGGATGAGACCTTCTTGGGGAAAAACTAAGGTTGCTGCTGGAAGAGGTGTTAGTGGAGCCAGCAGGGGGTGCTCACCCAGCGGGCTATTTGGGTACTAATGCCCCAGTATAGTGACGGGAACACTATACTGTGAAAAGGCGCCGTCCTTCGGATGAGATGAAAAACCAAGGTCCTGACTCTCTGGGCGTTTCTCGAAAAGAGTAGGGGTGTAACCCTGGCCAAATTTCCCATTGGCCCTTACCAATCATGGCCTCCTAATAATCCCCATTTGTGAATTGGCTTCATCTCCTCCAAATTGATAGCTGATGTGTGGTGAGCCGTCGCATCATCCAGGTGGATACTGTACATTGGTGGTGGTGGAGGAGAGTCCCCATTACCTGTAAAGCCCTTTGAGTGGAGTGTACAGAAAAGCGCTATATAAGTGTAAGCAATTATTGTTAAGGTGCACACTGAGAGCTCATTTCAATCTCTCAAACCCATTTTAACTTCAATGGCACTGATCTATTACTTGGATTAAACTCTTAGAGTAGAAAAAATCTCTTTAAAAAATATTTTATCAACATAAAACATTAATTGGAATTGTGAGCAAACATTCCTAGAACTCCGCAACTACAGCAAAGGGATATTAAAACTTGGATTATCTGCATGTTAAATATGAACATAAAAACAATGAACCTTAGATTTATTTTAACTTGGAGTCAATTTATAGTTTGTGATGCTGACGCTTACCTGAGCCCTTTGGAAACACCATTCAGTGATGCACTACTTCACGCACTGTCAGTGGCAGTGAGATTTATGTATTATGTTTATTTATTGGTTTTTCAGGGAAACAAAGGAATATTACATGGTACTTTATACAATAATGAACAAATGTGAACAATCATCATGGCATTTAAGATTGAAAGAGCCCAGCAGCAAGCTGCGTGCTCATCGTGGTTTGGATTTGTGGTAATGATGCGTTGTCGTCATGTCACATCGCAAACGTCTTAATTTTGTCCAGGGATAGGTGCCGGAGCAGGTGGGGTGTTTTTAAACTCGGAGGTGGCTGGCGGGTTAGGTCTGAGAGGAGTCTCGTGGAGCCAGTCCGGTACCCTTGGCGCCGCCCTGGTGTGGTAAAGCTGTCTGTGTGCCTCCGCAGGTGCGCCGCCCCGGCCTCAACATGGCGACCGAGATCGGCTCCCCGCCCCGGTTCTTCCACATGCCGCGGTTCCAGCACCAGGCGCCCCGGCAGCTCTTCTACAAGCGGCCCGACTTCGCCCAGCAGCAGGCCATGCAGCAGCTCACCTTCGACGGCAAGCGCATGAGGAAGGCCGTGAACCGCAAGACCATCGACTACAACCCATCCGTCATCCGCCACCTGGAGGTCTGTCTGAGGCTACAGCCTTCCTGGGTGACCCCGGCCTTTCACGGGCCAGGAAGTGCACTTTCTCCCCAAACTTTGATCCTTCTAGCACCGCCCTAATGCCGCTGTAGCCCTAGTGCGCGGCATTACTGAATGGTCAGTAAGCCAAAGACCATTCAACTGACTGAAATTGGCACAAGAGACCTCTAGCTTGGCTCTGTGAACAGATCACAAGGTGCTGGGCATGTGCTTGCACCACTGTCTACTGAACATGAATTAGACCAACAGTTTGTGTATTGGTAGAAAGTGTAGGAGTGTTTGCTAAGCTGGCTGCGGTTGGCGATCTTATGCAGTGCTGGAATTACATGCTTTTCTTTAACATGTTGTGCCCTGTGCAATATTGTTGAATTTAAAAAAAATAAAAGGAACATTTAGACGAACTGAACCTGGAATATAGTGTAAGTTCGCATAAAAATGAGGGATGCACGGGGGATGTCAGGTAAAAAATGTTTTATAAAACGCTCAGAGGACTGAGTTGGGGGGGGGGGAGAAGAAACTTAGTTAACAAAGAACAATAGGATTACCAGGATTAACACAAAAACTATGCACCAAAACATATGCACCCCCCCACCACTCCTTGGTGATGTTTTAGAGTAGTCACGATTGTTTCAAACAATCAACAGTCCTTCCTTAGCTGTAGTAAATAAAGGAAAAGGCACTGCTTATCCAATTCCATTGTCTTCCAAGAGCTTTCTGCTTCCATGAAGAGTGTAATCCAAATAAAAATTCCAGAATATACTAAAATGTTCTTCAGGAGCGAATCATCACTTTAGCAAATTACTGTAAACACTTAATGGTTGTTTCTCAAGTAGAGGCATTTTACAGCGTAAAGCCAAACACTTTACCATACTTCGATACAAGGCCCTGGTGAACAGAAGGACCCACTGTTTAAAAGAGTGGCTTAATTGAAGGTTAAGGTGGCAGTATGAAATAAACTCCATCTGGGTAAAAGATAACAACTGTGAGTCTAAGTGTTTCACGTAATGGCTGCAAAAGGGGTGAGTACCATTTTCCTGGCCAGGACCTCAGCTGTGCGGTTGTTCTCACATCATTCGACTGTCATAATTTCGGTAAAGACTGTTAGAATGGTTGCACATTACACTGCATTTTGTTCCCATTCAGTGAGTGAGTGAGCTTGACTTAAATATTTTTTTTGCTTCAGAACCGTCTCTGGCAGAGAGATCATCGAGATTTCCGAGTTATCCAACCTGATGCGGGATTTTACAACGAGGCAAGTTGAAACATTTAGTCATCATTCTGATTTTTCCTTTGCTTTTTCTTTGCATTGTATCTTGGAACATTTCAGTTTCTTCAGCTTTACAGCTGATTTCTGGAGACTAGACCTGTTGAACATTAGCATCAGAATATAGTTTTAAAATAGGTTGTGTATGTAGGTTTAAATGTCTCCATTGCTTTGGCTTTAACTCTTAACACAGTAAATTTTGTCATGCACTTTTTTTTATTTTTCTCAATTAGATGAATAATCATGTGTTATTGAAAACATGCTTAGTCTAAGGATTCATTGCGGTTCTGTTTCAGTGACATTTTTCACCTTTATTTAGGATTGAATGTTGCAGAACTCTACATTTAAACCCTGGCAAACTGCACAAATGTGTGATCAGAGTTACCTGCATGTAACATGGTTATCGGCTTGTTTGCCATTTTTCTGCCCTTCTCTGTGTTTCACAAGTGCATTTTTTAAAAGAAGTGTATTTTCTTTTGCAGCTTGTTCCTCCCATGGGAATGCTAAACAACCCCATGAATGCAGTTACCACTAAATTTGTCAGAACCTCAACTAACAAAGTTAAATGTCCGGTCTTTGTAGTACGGGTAAGCGATGCGTCATTATGAAGTGCTTTGAACAAAGCTCTCAGCAGTTAAATGTCTAACATGGATTTAGCTCTGATTTGAGCAGTCCTTCCTTTCACTGTATATTTTAGTATTATTTGTGTATGTACTGTGTCATAAGTAATTTGCCAAAACTAACATGAAGGTAGGATCTGGTTAGATTGTTCTTCAGTAGAAATGTTTTGTCAAATTCTGCACAAAATGCAGATTGGTGGGTTTTTATAGTGTTAAGCGATGCCATTTTGTGATTGGACAAATTATACACGGAAACCCAGTGTTCTTGAAAATAATTTTAAATGCATAATTAACTAGGAATATTCTGTTATATTGCTTTTCATGGAGCTCAGGGTTTGGAAAGTGATTTTTGCTTTTTAAAGCAAAGGTGGAAGCTTGTCTGTACTCTTTTCTCTCTGGCAGTGGACTCCAGAAGGCAGGCGTCTGGTCACAGGGGCCTCCAGTGGAGAGTTCACTCTGTGGAATGGGCTTACCTTTAACTTTGAAACTATTCTACAGGTAACCACCTGAGCTCTGAGCTAGAACAGTAGTTCACAGGACTGCCATGTTAACGAATAGTTTTAGTTTTTAACCCATAATTACTTCACTGCTGCTGAATTATCCAAAGAGAAACTTCACTGATTAAAGGCAGGCTTTGTTTGGTTGTAAAGTAGAGCTTTTGAACTTCTACAATTTTGAATCTCACTGTAAAGCTAGTGTGCAAATAGTTGCTTCCTGAAGAAAATGTATGAAGTCGTTTTACTAACTCCCCAGTGAGAAATTTGAAGCAATAATTTAGAGTCATTTTATATAATAAAATTGGTTTCCAAATTGTCGAATACACTGATTCTATGCTGCTTGTCTTTTGTGTGTCAAGAACTGTGTGATAGTTATATTAATTGACAGTTATATGCAATTAACGTACATTAAATGTGTAGTTTTTTATTCTACACTTCTTTTAGTTTACACCCGTTCTTGGAAATTGTCGTAACACTTTGTAATCATGGTCCCGTGGTTTTCCGCTAAATTGAGCTGCTTTGTCTCGGAGGAAGTCTGCTTGATTTCGCATGTAGTGCAGTGTGTTCTTGTGAACCTCATCGGTACCACCCCCGCTCTCTCTGCCCCGCAGGCCCACGACAGCCCCGTCCGAGCCATGACCTGGTCCCACAATGACATGTGGATGCTGACGGCGGACCATGGGGGCTACGTGAAGTACTGGCAGTCCAACATGAACAACGTCAAGATGTTCCAGGCGCACAAGGAGGCGATTAGAGAGGCCAGGTTTATACCCAATCTAACATTTTCTGTAGCTTATCAAAAACTGTTTTTATTGTTACCTTACTGTATAGCAGGCAAGAGCCTGCAGTGGCTGAATTCCGCCAACATGGGAGTGTTTTTACACCTGCCGTGCAACTTCTCACTATGTTGCTCTGTTTTGTCCCTTATAATTTCTTTAGATAGACATGTATGTGTGTGCTGTTTGCGACACTGCATTGATTTATTTTCCCTATGGATATTGGTTATATGTATTTTCCTATATTTTATATACATAATTACTGTGTACAGAAAGGTTTTACATTTTTCAAATAAAGTATTCCTTTTTATTAATATATATCTATTAACAAGGAGCTCTGAATAAATGAAACAGAAGGATAACCTGATTTACTCACAGCAGTTCTGAATCCAGAATGAGGAGCTGCTGAATGTCAAACCTAGAGGGGATGTCTTACAGGAGAGATTTTTCTTTCCTCTTTGAAATCCAAAGCAAAACGTTTTGTTGCTGATGCAACAGGAGGTTTTTTTTTTTACCTTACACTTCTGAAACTCCCGTTCAGGTTTCACATACAAGAGAGATCACAATCCGCACAGATCCTATTGGTTTGCTGACAGAGGTTAACACATTAGTTGTGCCAAGCCTTTGTGCATATGACCAGCAATAAAGTTTTTTTTTTTATTTAGCCCTCTTTTTTTGCACTGTCCCCAAAGCTAATTTCAAAGGTTTACAAGAAAGCACTCTTGTTTTCGACACCTTACAGCTCATGGGAAAGTTAGACTTTAACTTTGTCTGACAGCACCCCCGATTTTTCTCATGGAAATGTCTCCGAGGTTTATGGTACTTTGGGAAACAACAAAATATTGTTCTGCCCTCTTGAAGTCTCAAGACTTCTCTGGTGTATTTTGCGGACATTCACACACATCCCTCGGTTCTTTCAGCACATGGACCTCGTCTCAGAATTCTACTAAAACCAAGCCACCATTATTTTTTATTATTGTGCTACTAATCTTGAAATGAAAGGGTTTCCAGTTTGTTAAAAAGAATGGTTTTGACTAATGGACAGATTAAACCCTGCTTCGGATCTCTGAGGCCCTGCCTAACTGGACTGCACCCCAGCATTTTGATTATGTGCCTAGATGGTATTTTCTCAAGCCTGGACTTTCAGTCTGAACTAAGTCCGTAATGTCTTGTAGGGAAGTGGAGGTATTGTTCATTGTAATAAAAACCTACCCAGTGAAGGTTAAGAGCCACAACACCAAGCACTGGCCCGATCCCATGGCCTTGGATCTGGTCCCTTGTTCCCATTAGGTCATGACTAAATTGGTTTTACAGTAGGGATGTTCTGTTTGAAATTAGCTGAATATTAAAGTGTGACCTGGATTTTCAAGTAACTCAGCTTTGTATACTTCACCCTGGAAAGGAAATACACAAGTATGAAACCTGACCTTAACCTGTCTGATTAAATAGTGAGTTACTGTAAGCAGAAGCAGCTTGCTCAGACTGTTTTGTAAAGAAAACACATTTTTCACAACAGACAAAGGTTTGATTTGTTTTGCTATAGAACATGCTATCTGCTTCTCTAGAAAGCTGAAGAAGGAATAACCTTCCATTTCCATGTGAAGTAGGGATGGAGCAACGAACTCTGTGGTGAAGCTCTTCCATTATACTGTGTCCATTATAGTATGCAGCCTGCTTAGATCACACAATTCAGCAGCTGTTCAGTCTTCAGTCAGATTAAGTACCTATAACAGTTACATTGCCATATGCGATAAATACACATATTGAAACAATGCATTTAAACAGCAGCCATTGTGATTAGCTGCAGCAAATTGTTTCTCTGTGAGTAGTCAGAAGTACAGTTGTAAATTGGCAGACCATGATATCTTTGCTTTTCCTGTTATGACTAAAAAGTAATGTAATTTAGTTTTCGAGTAATATAATATTTTAAACAGCCTGCTTTTAAGCAAAATGATTAGATTTGCATCCCAAAAAGGTTTGTATATGATACTTGTTAAAAGTGAAGAAAATTGTTGACTATCAGACTTCATTCAAGAATTGTTCGGGTATTAGCAGACAACTTAAATTCCTGTAAGATACTAAATACAAGAGGTGGATAGTGCTTCCTCAGAATCTACAGTAATAGTGCCAACATTCATCCAGTTTTGGGGTGGCACGTTTTGGCACTTTGACCATTGGAGCAGCCTGAAACAGGACATGGACTGGAAGTACGAGTACTGCAGGGTCTGCTAATGAAGAGGTTAATTTTCTTTTTTGTTGGTAATATATCCCCCATGAGAAGCCTGTAAAGTTTTCACCCCTCTACCTCTGATTTACTGTATGATATTTTAAAAATAAAATGTTTTTGTACTAGCTTGCTAGTATCGACCTTTGCAGTTCTAGTGTAACAGATCCTAGCTTTAAATAACTTTCTAATTCTTACCACCATAACTTCTCTAATGTTACAAGTATTTCATTTATGCTCATTGTATTACTAATGAGACCTTTATGACCCAAATCCAATTCAGTATCACCTAAATATTACAATAATCCTTCGTTTAACCAGATAGGCCAGTTGACAGCCTTGCCAAGCGGCTCACACCATTGGTACACAGACAATAAAGCAGCTACTGAAAACAGAAATAATAAGTAAGCAACATGATGTGGCAGTGTTAACGAGCATCATGTGTCAGGCCAAAAATATTAAAAAGGATGTTTAAAGACTCCCTCGTGCAGAGGGTGGATTGTTTCCCCTCCCTCTACAGACTGTTGCCCTCACTGCCACAGCAGCTTGAAATGACTTGAACATTTACTCCTCACAGCTAATTATTTTGTTGAAGCTGAGTTTCTTGGTCTAACAAAGGTCTTTAGTTGAGCTCTTTTGTGTGTGGATTAAATGGGCAAAAATAAAGCTGCCTCAAATTACCCAAGTGGGAGGGATGCATCATTGTGGCCATTAAAAAAGGTTCTCTGAAACATTTAATTAAGTCTCGATGTATTATTAGACTCAAAATCTGAAGATCATTTCAAATTCTTTAGTGTACACACATTTTGGATATACAAGCAAGTTAGTATAACCCCTTTAGATCAAAAGACTAGTATAAAGGTATTTTGCTTAAAGCAATAAAACATTGAAAAGCACAGAGTGTGGTTATGGGCATAATCTTTGTTTTTTTTTCGTAAATCACAACATGCAGAAATCTTGAGGCCTGACAAAACGAATGCGATGATTTTGTAAAACACGAACCTGTATCAAAGAATAACTTTTGAAATTTTGATAGTATAACTATCATGTTGAGAATAATTGGTTTCCTCTGGAGGCCTTGTCATTCTACATTTAACAATTGTTGACAGTGTTATATATACCAGGTGTTCACCCAGACCCAGTAATTTAACTAAGGTTTCTTTGTTAGGTCATGTTTTCACCAGGCTGAGCAAATCATTGTAACACATTTGATGGGCCATGTGCTCCCATCTTCTCTCATCTTATAGGTTATTTTGGTTAACTAACTTTTACCAGAATGGTCTATTCATTTGCAAATATATTGTGCAGAACAGTCCATGTACAATGAAGCCAACCATGTGATAGCATAGACAAGTGTAAAATATGTATATGCAAATGTTCATGCTAGTTGCAGATGTTAATTATTGCATCATTTTTCTGAATCGGTCAATTGCTAGTTTGTTGCTTGTAATGAATAATCTGTTATGCCGTTTTATCTGTGGATTTATCGAAAGCTTATTCACCCTAGCAGTTGGTAGTTAAGGTGCTAGAGTGACACAAAGAATTTGTATGCCTATGCCAGTGTATGTGATTTCACACTGTAGTTGATGCATCAGTTTTCCCCTGACACTGTGCAAATACAAAAATTGTCAGACATGCCCATACAACATTCAAGATTCCATTAAAGTAGTGATGCATAACAGCTTTGAGTCCTTCCAGAAGCAGTCATAACCCAGACAGTTTTTCACAAGATAACATGTTTCGAAGAAGTGGCTTGTTTGATGCACCAGTAGGCTATTTCACTCTGCATCACCGTGACCAGGCTTTCTTTTTTTAAAGGGGTTTTGTGAAGGGACTGAGTGAGAGAGAAGTGTTTGGTGTTGCTTGATAATGCCAGCCATACTTATCCTAATGACAGTGCTACTTCTCCTGGGTTATCCCATATGGTTTCCTTTTAAATTCCAGTGTATGGTTGGGGTCATGTTAATGTCATCACAGTTCATTTCCTCTAAAGAGACAAAACCAGCAAGCTCAAAGTGGAAATACATTATACTCTTATCTTTTCGAGTTTGCTACTGTATTTTAACAAAACTGACGACTGAATATGTCTTGAGTGAATTGTTTGTCAAAGAATATAAGCTTTTGAAAGCAGGAAGTATAACTTTAACCACTAGTGATGTTTTGAGCCCTTGTGTTATAGTACTTTCTGCTAAGGTCTAAAGAAGATATGTTTACTTTTCCTGTATCAAAAGATCTCTCAACATGTTTTCAGAATTATTTTTTTAAATGTCTAGGTCAAAGAATTTCATTACCTTCTTGGCTGCTTTTAAAACCGCATCCTCTTGAAACAGGAAACTCACTTTCAAATGCTACATTGAAAAGAGGTCATAGCTGCCTATGAGAAGATGCAATTTGTCTTTGTACAACCTTAACAGTACTGGATTTTACTGGGAACAGTCCCTGTCCTCCCCACCCCTGCCATATGAAATCCTCTTGAACCACCAGTGCTCCAAAATGGCTGCTCTAAGTTGTCCCTGTTAAGACTAACCTGCGTGTCTTTGGGAGATGGCAGAAAACCAGCACTCCCTGTAAATCCCCATGCAAACATGAGGTGAACAAGTAGGCTCTCCAGCATGAAGCCGAACCCAGGACCCTGGGGCTGCAAGGCAATATTGCTTAACCAACATGCTGCCCAAAGCTGTTAAAAAAGCTGCTGGGGAGCAGTATGAAAAGGACAAATTAAAAGAGTACCATAGATTGGAATTAGCCTTAGGTATATTTTGAAGCGGGGGTCTCAAACTCAATTCCTGGCTGGCTTAGTGTCATCAGGTTTGGATCCACCCATATTTCCACATATATACTGGATCTGTTTAAAATAGCTGCAAATTTGTGATACTTCTAACCAGGCATTTAGATGATTTGTAAATCATGCAATCATACCTTTAATAAAGTCAGTCCCTTCTGTAATATACTGTAAAAGACCTTAGGATAAGTCTTAAATATGTCCCAATTTAGATATAACTAAGTTCATTGTTTAATTGACCACTTGAACACACAAGGTCTTGCAGGAACCAAGTTTAAAATCCCTGTTTTAAAGTATGTAACATGACATTTGTTTCTTCATTGAGCTTTATTTTTTATCGTTCTAAAAATGCTGGTAAAATACTTGAACTGTTGCAGAGTTTTTTTAGTAGAAGTTTCTTTGTTAAACTGTGCAGTTTTACTCTGGTAAAAGCAAAGGGGTAGGTGCTTTTGAGGTTGGAAAATATCACCTGAGAGGTAGATTTTGTGCTGTTAGGTTATATGCATTAATGTTCTTTTTTCACAATCTTTTTGCCATTTTTCTTGTTTTCTCAACCTCATAGGCACCTATACCTTGGTCAAGCTGTTTGTTAGAAGCAGGTCCAACTGCTTCCTTGAGCCATAAACTCCAATCCATCTCACGTTTTCTCCTGTTTTAGTTAGAAGATAAACTTGACTAGAATTAAACAGTGGTGAATATTAAGGCTGAACACCACCTGCTTTATAGTACTTCCCCAGAGACTTCAGACTTAAGTGTGCAAGATAATCCAGTGTATCTGTTCAGTCCAAACCCAACTGTCTTGGTGATTCTTGATGTGGTCACATGGCGATCATGATAGACAAAGGTGGAAAGGGGTTGCAGTCCAGTTGTTGCACAAGGGGTTCTGTCACATTAAAGTCCAGCTCAGTCTGTTTCTGCAATATCTACTCTAGGACCTGTTAGCTATGGTTCACCACTTACTCTTTTTAGAGGGATGGGAATTCAGTGTCACTAGAAGTTTTGGCCATGAGGCAGCCTGGCCCTCACACTCCTTTATTAACTACCTTGAAAGACCCGGTGGGTCATCCTGATGTGCTGATCTCTCTCCTCCTGCTGTGTCTTCAGTTTCTCACCCACGGATAATAAATTTGCCACTTGCTCTGATGATGGAACTGTTCGCATCTGGGACTTTCTACGGTGCCATGAGGAGAGAATCCTGCGAGGTATGTTCATGTTTACGGCAAAACAAGCACGTGCTTTCTTCAAGCATTTCATTACACACGCACACGTACAGACACCTCAAGTCACAAACTTTCACTTCCCTGTGCATTGTCATCTCCTGCCAGTGATTCAGTAAGAGTCATTTGATAGGATGTGCATATATGTCTCAGCCTCAGGTTCCAGATTGATTATTTGAAGTTTAATCTGCAATTAATTACAAATTGTGGATCAGCTAATTCTGTGGTCTGGATTCTTGGTTCACTTTCCCCCCATATATAATGTTGGTTAAACTTAACACTCAATACAAGAGTTCTCTTTACTTTCACTAACAAAACCAGAGACGTATCTACATGAAAAGAAAGCTTTTTTTCTGGATTTTTTTAATTTAGTTTTCCAGAATGTGCAACTAAATTTAAAGTGCATCTCTTCTCTTTTCTGTTTAGTGCTGATCAAATGAATTTCAGTAGTAGACCTCCAGAATATATATAGGCGCTTGTTTAGTTAAGTATCGCAAACAGATGTTCTTGCTTGCTCAGGCTGCATTTCTTAAAACCATCGTAAGATGAGTAAGCCAGCTTCGGCTTCCTGAAAGCTTTATGTTAAAGAGCACTACATATTTGGTGTCCTAATGCTTGTGAAAAAATAGGATTCTTCCTTCAAATGCCAAACTGTGTGAGAAAACCGCTGGAGTTGTTTGGTTTCCAGGTGTCTACTCTATTAAAAACCAGTGCTCTGAGCAGAAGGGGTTTGGGCTCTGGCTGTTGGTGTGACTCCATCCGGTACCAGGGTCCCCTGTTCCTGGATCAATTTTGTACTCGCTATACAAAATATTAGGAATACACAGTGAATAATGTTTGGCCTGTACAACATGAACAAAACATGTTTGGTTGTCCATGAGAGTTTTGATCTATTTGCAGTCCAAACTGATCTTTCTTCATTTAGCATTGTAGATGAGGTTGATTCACATTGAGCCATGTCCAGCTCTCAGAGGATGCCTGTGTACTATCTCATACTTCCTAGTGCTCTGCATGCTCTAGTGTTGGTAGATCCTGGAAAAAAAACAGGAGGCTGTAAATCACCGTCTTTAAAAGGGTAAAACACTGAAATTGTTTCAAAATACTACTGTTTGAACATCTTCAGTCAGTTATTTAGTAGTTGTTATGGAAGAGACCTGAATGTTTCATCTTCATACATTTATTTTTCAATATTTGTTGGCAATACATGTGAAAATGGAATGATTGTGAACTATAGTTAGTGCAACTCTTTCATTGGTTTTGAGATCGTAGTTCTTGCGTACAGTTTTCTTTAGAAACACCCAAAAATAGCATTTTAGCAATTCAAACTCTAGTTAATACGAGAATTATTAAAGATTTGGGGTAGCATGGTGGCACAGTGGTTAGCATATCTGCCTCACAGCGCTGGGGCCTGGGTTCAATTCCAGACCTGGGGTGCTCTCTGCGTGGAGTTTGTTAGCCCACCTGCTTTTCACATAGGTTTCAGTGCTCCGGTTTCCTTCCATATCCGGAGACATACTGGTAGGTTAATTGGTTTGTGAGAAAATCGGCTCTGGTTTGTGTCTGTGAGTATTTATTTATGCTTTCTTACAAATGTCTACTTCAGAAAATTAGGACCCAGGAAGAATAAGTGAATTCAGCATTGCTTGCACTGAGTGATTGCAGCAGGTTTTTATAGAGGAGTTCTTCTGTCAAGTATAATACATTTATAATCAAAGAAATTGTATTGGTGTATGCAAATCAAAAAATTGGAAAACTTGTTTTTAGTTGTAAAGGTGTTCTGTTTAAAAGACTGCACACAGTCTAACCTACTTGTCGTTGAAAAATATGTAGCAAAACTAGGTATTCTTTCTGCAGTTTCAGCATGAAACAGAAGAACCAATGATACAGCTCTTTAATAAAGTCTGTAGCTTTATGAAAACAAAGGTCTTGTGTATTTTAAAAAGAAACAAGATACCAATAAAAATGTAATGTCAGAATTTTGCAGGTTTTACTTGTGTAAAAAATTGTGTGAATTTTCATGTGCTGTATTGGGACCTGTTCTTAACAGTGGTTCACTTTGGTCTCAAGTCAGATACATTAGTGAACATAAAATACAAGTTTAAAAAAAACAGATATATTTGGAATATTTTGTTTATTCAGTACAACATTTGTTTTCATTTCTTTTTCATTTATTTTGTTTTTAATTAAACGTCGTAATAGGCAATGAATTCTCCATGCTGTAGTGGTAATGTGTAGGTCATTTTCACTTCATTAACTGGTATGTTTCATGGTGTGGAGTCAAAGCATTATCACAAATTCCTGAACGAACTCAGTCTTTTTGTAATTACCTGTGTCCATCATGACCAGAGAATAACTAGTATTTCTTCCAGGTGTTCCTGTTCCTTAGGGTAGCTGTGGTTTGTCTTCTTTTGTAGTTTTACAGGGATTCTTGTTGAACCTGTTCACAGATCATTTTGTTATAACTTTTAGTGTTTTAATTTGCAAGTATAGTGTAAAGTGAAAGTATTTTGCCCTGGTTTTATTGACACTGGAAGTTATGAATAGGTCTTTGCTAGCACTATCCTTTCAAAAGTTAAAATGCAAGCAGTAAGAAGTTGATTTACCAATGGATTCAAGAGGATCTTATGGCAAAGGAACTTTTTATATGAGGCTCCAAACTTAAATGGAATAAATGTAGTCAATAGGCATTCATCAGTATAAAACCTTGAGCTTTAATAAGGCACTCAAGCTGTTTGTTGTAGCTGTTTGCACCTTTACCTCTTCCATACTTACCACTGACTTCCAGGCCTCCAACACTAATCACATACTGAATAATTCCACCACAGTGTACATAGTCCAGTGTACTGTTTAACTTTATTTTGAAATATCAGAAACATATTTGCACGAGAAACTTTGATTGCAAAGATTGATCTCAGACAAGATTATAACCACTATAACATGTCTCACCAGCTATTGCCAGGGGAGTTGAATGTCCTAGCCCTTCATTATTATGTTATAGTGTCCTGAATGTGCGATGTGTTAGGCGGGTATTTATTATGATATCTTTTGTTTTTACATATGGATCGTGTCAATCTGCCCCCCCCAAAAAATCTCTGGGATCAACTTTAAAGTAAAGTTTAAAGAGGTTGAGTTTTTGAGATCCAGGTGGGTTCATGGCTTATGTCTCTCACTGACTGTGGTGGGGATTCCCCAGCCGTGCTCCCTGGCAGCCGTGCATTGTGGGGGGGCAGGACTGGGGCTCCCAACACCAGGCTCTTAGCTCCCAGTGGGACAGTGACCTCTTCAATTTCCTGGTTGTAACTGGAGTGGCACACAAAAACAAGTAGGCTCCTGCAAGCCTGGAGAAGGTGTCCAGTTTGCACACCACGCATCTCTTTATAGAGTGACAGTCATCTGTATTAGGCTCTGCCTGATTCACAAATCCAGGCTACCTTAATGATGTTTTTGTTTTTTCTAATTTTTACATCAGAATTTTATATTTGATTTTTAGTTCACATACACATTGTATCTGTCGAGGCTCTTCAATTCTAGAGTGTCAGGTGCACATTGTATATATTTTAGGGTTACCAGTATAATAGAATTTGATTCCTGAAATTGAAAATAGATTAACATGGAACCTGGAAGCCTAAACCAAAGCAGCGACAAAGATGGCAGTAGTGAACCAACCTTGTCCTGTTTTGTGCACGTTACAAAAGTTCTGAAGGTAGAAACTTGTTTTTGCCAAGCGTAACAGAGTATGATATTAAGTCACCATGGGACACAGTCCATAAACAATGAGAAAAGGCATAAGAGGAATGTGCACCATCTTACCAGGGACTTCTGATCACCTGTTCGATCCCAGTCCCAGAGGGTTTTGGGGTGTTTAGAGTCCAGCAGTAAGGCTCCTGGATGCCTGAATGCTGTGGGGGAAGACCCGTGTGGTGTGTGCAGTATCACAGTGAGACTGCAGAGAGACAGAGTCTCATGGTGAGAATCTGGTTTAAACTGTCCCGTCTTGAGACTGATCAGTAGAAGCTTGCATTGAGGCTGCAGGTTACTAGTCTCAAGGGGAGACTTCAAGATACAAGTTTTCTTACAGCGAGATATGTGCTGTCTAGGTTAATGAGAACAGGAGAAGGCTCTTGATAAGAATAGGCCTCAGTTGACAGACAGGAGTCAGAATGAGACTGGCCAAATGGAATCGACTGAATTTAGGAAGGCTTCTTCCAAGGCTAGAAGGTTAAAGGCACAAGTAGCAGTCCCGTCATGGCCTAATTTAGGTTAAAAGGGGGTTAATGTGTGCAGATCTCCCCACTCCCAGCTATCATCAAAGAAGGATCTGTCACAAAGCTTGCAGGAGTTTGTTGCAAGCATTCCCTGTCGCGTTAATATGTTTAATAAAGAAAAGAATTCTCCCCTCGACTAACGTTGTAAAAGTGAAGTGCACTACACTTTGTGAAAGGTACTCGCTTGGAATTCACTTTGAGCCTTACAGTTCAGCCAGTGGCTGTGGTTTCCCACAAAACTGTACAAGACTGACCACCACCAGGACTTGGTAAACGTTAGCCCACCAGAGCATTCTTTCCTTTCTGCACTGTAGTGCGTTTCGGGCTTAGTTGGAACCTTTAATCTGGCACAGTTGCTATTGTGAGACCCATTCCTCCATCAGTTGTTAAGTCTCCTGTAAGGCATGGTGAAGCATGACAGCAGGCTTGTCAAAGGAGAACACTCATCATCCTCATTCTCTTCCTGGTGGTCAGTGGAATTCATTGCACTGTATCTGTTCTATAAGTCCCTTGTTCTCCACAAGAACTAAGAACAAAAGAACCGTTAGAAACAAGAAATGGCAGTTTGATTCATCCAGCCCATTTGGTCCTTAGTGCTGTTTGATATGAAGATCTTAAAAGTTTCTTGGAAGACGGCAGGGTATCCACTTCAGCAAAATGGCAGGATAGTTTGTTCCAAGCTTACAACCCTTTGTGTAAAGAAATGCCTTCTTTTCCATGTTTTAAATGCATTTCCATATAATATCCACTTTTGTCCCCTGGACTGTTAATCTTGAGGAAGTTCATTGGGTTCACGTTGTCAAAGACTTAAGGATTCTGAATTCTTGAACCAGGTCCTCTCATAGTCTTTTTTTTTTTGTTCAAGGCTAAAAAGGTTCAGTTCTCTCAGCTTGTTGCTGATGACATTCCTTTGAGTCCAGGAATTTGGTCTTAATTGGTCCACCTCAATTTCCCTTCGGGATCAATAAAGTCTTATCTGTCTAATTCATCTGGTAGGTTTTGTCTATGGACTTATTCCAGAGAAAAAAATGTTTTTTTGGAAATGTGGAGACCAAACTTGCGCACGTTTTTCTAAATGTGGTCTTACCATTACATTGTAAGATGTTAACATAACATTCTTTGTTTAAATTCTGTTTGTAGCTATATATATATATCCTAACATTTGTTTGCCTTTTTTGTTGTATCCCCACTTTGTCTAGAAGATGGAAATGATGTCAGCTTAAGCTTAAGACTTATGAGTAACCTCATGAAGGTTATAAAGCTCAGCATTTCACATTTTGTTTTATTAGTTTTTACTGCTGGTCTTAGTATAGATCCATGTGGTACTCCACTAATTGCTATCTGAGCATTCACTCCTTATGTACTCTTTTTTTCTATTGACTAGCTTTCAAATAAAACACATTTCACCGGATGCCTTCTGCCTGTAATGTGCAAATCTTAAATCTTCTAAAAGAACTTTATCAAAGGCCTTCTGAAGATCTGAGTACACCATGTAATAAGCAATACATTGTGATCCCACCTTAAACAAAGAACTTACAGCTTGGTTTTTCACACAGATCATCGCCACGATCATTACCTTTGCTTTGAAACCACAGTTCTCTGATTCATAATTGATTTTTATTAATTATCTTATTCCTGATGGAAGATGTAGAGTTGTAAACATAAAAATGCTGGAGTCTCCGACTCCAGAAGTAGACTCTATTTAAATAACTGTTAAAAACAATACTTTGTCATTATAAATGTGAACTGCAAGAAATTTTCAAATGATGCAATGTTTTGTGTTTTAAAATAATGTATGAAAAGTGTCTTTTCTCTAGGGATGTTGTTTAACGATAGTTTGAATGTTTGATATACACTGCAATTTTAAAAACATTAATATGAATTTAATAGAATAGACTTGAACAAATGGCAACTCCTTGTTCTTGGCCTCCGTTAACATGAAAGAAATGTAACATCAACAGGTTATATAGTCCTCTTGACCTTGCAGTTTCTCAGGAGGCCAAATTATTTTTTGGAAGACCCTTGTGTTTGTCTCCCCAGTATCTATATCATGTTTAATTCATGCACTTCGATTTCTTGTGCAAAAAATGATCGGAGCTATAATCTTTGTCACCTTTGCTTCTGGATGCTCGTGGTGATTTGGTTTTTTTCTTTGCTCCACTTGCGCCTGTTTATGAAATTATTTGTACCTTTGCAGGACCCCACTTAATTTCCTGAAACATATGACACTTCTTTTCAAATGACTGTTTTTCACATTGGGAATGCTGTGTTTTTGTGTGTTATCTTCCTTGTCGGATACAATTCTGTTGTTCCATCTGATGGAGCACGTTTTGGGTGGGTTTTGCTGGGCTCTTTCTCCCACTGACTCTTTGTGTGATTCTTTTTCCCCAATACCCTGCACCCTGTTTGTAGAAGAGCAGTGGTGTACCCTCAGTACTACCTTGTTCCCTGGGCTTCCAGTAATAGGTTAAGCTTCTCAAAACCTTTATCAGCACACGTTTGCTGATGGGGCGAATCTGTGACAGAGTGCATTGAGTTATGGTATAACAGCTCTTTTCTTATCAGGAGAACTGTACATAGACTTCTGGAAAATAACTTCATTTTGACCTTCCCATTGACCTTGCTATATTCTGCAAACATAAACAGTGCCATATTGTGTGAATGAAAAAAGCACTTTATCACTTCAGTAACTTATAAAAAAAGGCCTGTTAGCATTAGTCTGCATGTTGAAAGTGAATCAACCCTTTTCCTTCTATATTGATTTACAATTTTAAATAATTTAGGCATATTTTTCCTTATTTGGTAAATGACCGAATCCAGAAATATGCATTGTGTCCTCTTCTCCAAAAAAAAAATCAGTTTATCAGTTAGTGTCATGTTTGACCACTTTGCACAAACTTCTCGTTCTGTTCAGTCTCTGTATTCCTGTGACAGCATCACATCCTGTGGTTTACCTACAGATGGGGTTTGCATCAGCTCTCTCCTCATTGGACATCCACAGGTGCTTGACAGGTTTTGTGTTTGAGGAGAAATTCTCTTGGACCTCTTATGTCCTCCAGTGTGGTCTCATATGCAGTCATTGTGGACAATGGTCTAATGTTCCACATTTTACAAAAATAGACTCTTCACAGCAACCAATATGTTTTTTTACTGCATATTTTCTTTTTTGGTACTGTTGTTCATTTATTTTCTTCAAAAAAACCTACATGATTTTAGAACAAAAAAAAACATAATGTACATTACCTTTAATAATAATTGCTTACACTTATATAGTGCTTTTCTGAACATTCCACTCAAAGTGCTTTACTATTAGAAGTATTATTTCATTTTAAGGTAAAATCATATATTGAATACGAAAATGTTCAAGAGCAAAGTTGTGACTTAAAATATTATGATTTGCAAACATTTTCATACATCTTGAATGTCTTATAAATATTCTATAATTTGAAGACACATTATTTGAAGATAAATTAGATTTATTGGCTGCCCTATTGCCCTTGCTTCAACCACTGTGATTTGATGGAACAGATCTCTGTTATACATTCATTATTGCTAATATGTACTGCCTTCCTTAGATATATGGGTGTTGGCATGTGCAGATCTTGAAAACAATGTTGTATCGCAATTTTTACTTTGAGATCTGCCAAGTTAACATTTTGATACAACATGTTTTAGAAACTGTCCCCTTTTCACCAAAAGAAGATGTCATTATGGGGCTACAGTAGAAAAGGAGGCTCAGAGGCAGGTCAGGGCAGTATTCAACATTAATTAAAACTTAACCTAATTCTACAGTATTTTATTCACCTCTAGTATCAGGGGTATTATTATATGATTGCCGCAAAATATCTGCTAAAATCAGATTTCTGAATTTTAGAGATTTTCAGTTAGCATTTCTAACAAAGCAGTTATTGAGGTCATATTAGATGTGTATTATGAACTGCAGAGCTTCTAAAAATAATTCTTAGTCTACTGCTTAACAAAAATTGTTTGCTGGGAAGATTCCAACAGTTTACTTAGGCAGCTTCAAGCAACACATTGGACATTGTCGGAATAGACTGCCTTCCTCAGTTCTTTTGACCCATTTATTCCCAAGATCAGACTGAAATTTAATGTAAAACAGCACACAGGCCTAGTTCTGTTAGTTAATGCCCCAGCACATCTAAGATTCTTTTTTAATGGAATAACGTGAAAATCATTTTTGAAAATTTAATTACTATCTCTAGTGCAAAACTTGCTCCTTAACACAATCACAATTTCTACCAAATCATGAGTAACTTTTAGACTGAAAGGGAAAGACAGTTTGGCAAGGAATAATCCCTGTGGTTTTGAGTAAGAATAGTTCCTGGGTACATACAGATGTTGACTAATTGTACCCTAATTCATCAGACCATAAACAGATGTCATTCCCCTAGGATTTGGGAGTCTTGGTTTCAGTAGTATTCATATCTTCAAATGATTTTTCAGCAAATGGAAGCTATGGTAGACTTGTTTGAGCAGTAAAAAAGCTTTTTATTCTAATTTCTTTACATTACACATGTTCATTCCTCTGCAGTTGTGTTTTAGTTTATAATGGATCCAAAATCTAAATGTTAGAGATTTCAGTGCAATCTCATATTCTCACTGCATGCACCACAGCCAGATTTTAATTTCCTTCAAAACACTTTTTTGTCCATGCCCCCGGGTTGTAAAATAATCCTACCAACAAAATAATAGGATCTCACACTAAAAAATGTAAAATCTTGAAGAGCAACAGCAGCAGAACAGAATTTCCATGAGGCTTTGACAGAACCAGCAGGAGGTGCAGTTCAGCAGTGTGTACTATTGCACTCATCATGATCACATGGGAAGAGACCTGATGACAGATATTCCAGTCTGAGATCTGCGGACTGTTCTAGCGAGGGGAGGTGGTGGATGTCATGTCTGTCAAGCTAACCGCACATTTCTGGTCACTGCATCTCTATAAATAATTTGTTCAGGCACAGAGGGAGATTTGCACACTATAAATAGACATCATTGACACCATGCGTCTATTGTATTGGTTTTTAGGATCTCTATTATTTTTTATTCACCTCACTTACTGTCACGTTGCCACTCAATGCCCTAATACCATAATGAGTGAGTATTATTTTTATCAGTATTAATTATTTTTCTGTATGTTTTAGTGTTCCAACCCCCAAACCCAGCTACAATCGTTAATTCTTCACCAACTCAGCAAGTGTAAAACCACATGGTTCCTTACATGTGCCGAGGTGTTCCCGCACTCAGCCCAGCAGTGTTTACCTGGTTGCACTGAACTGCCGAGCGTGTCTCCTTGTCCTATACAAATCAGACTCCCTCTTACTTGACAGATTACAACTGCCGCACCCATAAGCCTACACTCTGCCCTGTACATCACCCCCACCTTCTCACTCTGTTCCTTGTGCAAAATGCTGTCATTGTTCCTCTCTGTAGGACACGGTGCTGATGTCAAGTGTGTGGACTGGCACCCGACCAAAGGCCTGGTCGTTTCGGGGAGCAAAGACAGCCAACAGCCAATCAAATTCTGGGATCCAAAGACGGGACAGAGCCTTGCCACACTGTAAGTTATAGTATGGGTTCCAGTTCATCTGCTGTTCCAATCCCTTGGGCAGAAAAGAGAAAACACTATTCATATAAAACTGATTTTGTGTTTTACTGGGGTGAGGCCAACGGCGATATGAAACCTGAACACTGCGAAGTAATGACCCTCAAGTAAACGTGCTTGCTACTGTTCCCTTAGTTAAATGATACTTTAAAGATTTTTACCTTTTGTCTGACAATGGGAATGTCTTACAATAGAAAGCAGTTTTCAGTTTGTGACATTTGACAATATAGATGCTTGTATTACATAGTTAACCCCACAGCTGATAAGAAAGGGGAGAAGGTAAATGTTTGGGAAAGAAACGGGATGTGGACAGTGATGCTGTTTACCCACGTGCCTGTGCGGCAACCCTCTCCTGACACTGCCCCTGTTTAACGTACAGACACGCCCACAAAAACACAGTGATGGAGGTGAAGTGGAACCTCAATGGCAACTGGCTGCTCACTGCATCACGCGACCACCTCTGCAAGCTGTTTGACGTGCGGAACCTGAAGGAGGAGCTGCAGGTCTTCAGGGGTCACAAGAAGGAGGCCACAGGTCAGAGCAGTGGGGCACAGAGAGTCGTCTTTTCATCCTGGCAGCAAAACTAACACAGCACAAATTGCCTCTGTCTTTTGTTTCCTGATGCGCAATCTAATGTGATTCCTTCAAATGGAACCAGCAAATGACAGCATTGGAAAGCTGAACAGAAATGATTTTACGTTAGTCAGCCCCTGCAAACTGTAAGCCTGTCGTGATCCACCTGTCATTCACAGTGTAGGCTGTAGTTTCGAAACTCTTCAATTTTAATTTCAGGTATGTAAGTGAGCCATTTATATTTTTGAATGTTTTGCATTACATTACAGATTTAGTTTTCATTGAGCAGAATTACTTTGTGGAATAGTTAAATATTCTCAATAAGTTATACGTGACTTTTGTATGGATTAAAAATAATAAGGTTACCAGCAGCTAAACTTTTGTGTTCTTGAATGTGTAAGAAAAGTAGAACTGAAATGGCTTCCACTGCATAACCCTCTTCCAGTGATGAATATAGATTTCTGCCTAGCGGTGTATTTTATGCTAATTGTTGTGCTAATTTTCTTAAAACATCCGTGAAGGTAATTGTGTTTGAAAAGCTAAAAGCTTGACAATTACAATAAACACACCTACAGAATTAGCTTTACCAGAATACGAAGACCGTTTCTTCCCTAAATGCTTCCCAAAAGATGCAGTGCCAGCCAATCATGAAGTTCACCTCATTATTCTAGGATGTTCTGTTTTCTCCTTGATGAAAGTAATGAATCTCTGTTTTCTCTTCCTCTTTCTATCCTGTAGCTGTAGCCTGGCACCCGATCCACGAGGGTCTGTTTGCCAGTGGTGGCTCTGATGGGTCTCTGCTCTTCTGGCATGTTGGGTAAGAGAAACTTTGCCACCTGTTCACTCTTGTCGTGTCCTTCAGTATTGCATTTTGGACTTCACACACAATATCTTCTCTTCATTTTCCCCAGCAGTTCTTCCGTATGAAATTGATCATGTTTTTGCTCAGTGATTGGTTCAGTGCAAGTCATCTTTATTTTCCTGTGACTTTAGAATTTAATTTGATATTTCTTTCTATTTTTTTTGGAAAAGTCTTTCCTGGATTAGGAGCGTCTGGTGTGTTTAATGTGTTGTTTATTCCACATGTTCCTGACAGTTCTTTCAAATCACAAAATGCCAATTTTTGTGGTTTTACTATTAACATCATTAACATCAACTCAAGGTGAAGTGTGATGGAACTAGATCAGTCCATTGGTGCTATCTTCATCTGCAGAGCTTGCTCCCAGTGAACGCTGAAACCATGCTTCTTAAGTTTATCTGAAAAGCTCTTTGGAAGGGTCTTACCAATCGAGGCTAGTGCTGTGTTTGATTCTGCATAGCACCCTGGTGTGCAAAAATAACATTAAAATTACCAACAAAAATGAAATTATGTTGGTAAAAATGTTTTCAGTCTATCTGACACAATGCCAAGAGGTCTGCGGGGATATGTGTAGAGCGAAGCATCTTAGAAGGGATGTTTGTCCTTGGTGGTTGCACGTTGACCAGCTGGTGCAACAAGCCCTTGTGTCTGTGTTGCAGAGTGGAGAAGGAGGTGGGAGGAATGGAAATGGCCCATGAGGGGATGATCTGGAGCTTGGCCTGGCACCCACTCGGTCACATTCTTTGTTCTGGATCCAATGATCACACAAGGTGAGCCTGCGCGAGCTGAGCGTGACCTCTTCTGTGTGTGTCAATCTGTGCCTTTCCCTCTCCTGTCTGAGCTGTTAGTCACTGGCAGTTGCTGCTATGATCATTCTCACTGCTCCCTTACAGCAAGTTCTGGACAAGGAATCGTCCTGGAGACAAGATGAGAGATCGATACAACTTGAACCTTCTACCTGGAATGTCAGAAGATGGTGTGGAGTATGGTATGTACCAGGAATAATTGTAGACAAATTCAGACAGTCATTAAAATGGCTGCCTTTATACCATAGTGCCTACTCATCTGTAAGCAAACCAGCTGCTAACTGCTGAAAGCAAACACCACAGTTATGGCCCTGTTGAACTTTAGAACTGTACTTGCCATCATCTCACTACAGAATATGCTAAATAGAATGTAAAATCATTTCCCTATGGTATCCTAAGGCATTTTTTTCTTCTGACCTCTCTGTGCTTTTACAGATGATATTGAGCCCAACAGTCTGGCAGCAATCCCGGGAATGGGTATCCCGGAGCAGTTGAAAATGGCCATGGAGCAGGAGCAGAGTGGTAAGGATTTATTTCCATAGCTCTGATTCAGTGCTAGTTTGCAAAATAGATTTGTTTTGTTTGAGAAAGTGTTTTAGGTTAATTTACAAAGATGTAACTTTTGAAATGTAAAATATCAGATAACAGGAAGATGAGAACAGTGTGCCTTCTTTAGTACTGTCACATGGTGGAATAATAGCTGATTTCATGCAGACAGGACTCTTGCAGAATTTATTATGGTGGGCAAGGATTCACCCTGCTGTGGGTATTGTTTGTCGGTCTGCAGGTAAAGAGGATGTAACTGAAGCAGAAATGACTATCCCTGGGCTGGACTGGGGCATGGAGGAGGTCATGCAGAAGGATCAGAAGAAGGTCCCGCAAAAAAAAGTACCCTACGCCAAACCCATCCCAGCCCAATTCCAGCAGGTACCTCCTTGGAAGAAGAATTTTAATTAATGGAATCCTCCCCCCTTTAAAATAACTGAATGAAGGGGAGATGAAAACTACAAATACAATTATGAAGACACTGTAACCGATCTGATATATCTTAATACTTGAATGGGTTGACGGAGTCTATTAATGTTAGGGAAGGGCATTTTTTCCAAAGATGATTGGGGAAAGGTGAATAAAAGGTGGTAGCCCATGGTACAGTAAGAGATTTTTTTTTGCCCCTTTGTAAAACTTGCTGTTTTCTTGCAAATTATTGTATAATGGCTTGATGGCGCTCATATACTGTATATAGAGCGAAAACAGATGGAAGGACCCTAGATGGAAATGAAAGGAGGTTCTTTCATGACGACTGTTCTTCCCACAGGCCTGGGCTGAAAACAAGGTGCCTGCTCTGCCGCCCGGGGATCCCCCCAAGGAGAGGAAGGATGAGAAGAAGATCGATGGCAAGAAGAAGACCCAGGCGGAGATAGAGCAGGAGATGGCAGCCTTGCAGTACACCAATCCGCTGCTGCTGGAGGTGAGAGGGGGTCTCCCTGAGTCCAGGGTGTCGTGTCCCGATTCCTTGGGAAGACCAGGTCTTGCTCTCGGTAATCGTGAGGCCAGCACTGTTGTAATAATTTCCTGCAAAATCTAGACCCCCCCCCTTTTGCTGCTTCACTATGGAAAATACCATCTGGGAGGTGGTACTTTGCAATTGCTTCTAACCTGGACCAGCCCTCAGCTGAGCAGACCTGTAAGTCATCACAGTTAATTAATTAGTCCTTGTCTTGATAGGTTCTTTTGGCTCTTTCAAGCATGTTTGGATAAGGATACATACGGAAATTGCTTTATTATATAGGCTCGAGGGTTTTATAGGCCTGTCTGAATTTTTCATATTTTCTCTCACTCCAGCAACTCAAGATTGAGCGTTTAGCTCAGAAGCAGTCAGACCAGGGAGCTGCCCCTCCAGGATCCCAGCAAGGGGCGATGCAGCCCTTTGCCAACCAGGGCCCCCTGCCCCCACCCCACCAAGGGTTCCAGCAGCCTCTCGCTCCACAGCAGATGACCCCCAACATGGCTCCCATGGGTCCTGGAGGCCCACAAGGTCCATTCATTCCCCAGGGCCAGATGGGCCCCCCTGGACCTCAGCTTCACCAGGGCCCCCCTGGCCCACAGGGTTTCATGGGGCCCCAGGATATGCATGGGCCCCAGGGCATGCAGAGGCACCCGGGTCCTCATGGGCCAGTAGGGCCTCAGGGGCCTCCTGGGATGCAGGGCAACAAGGGCATGCATGGTCCTCCCGGAATGCTTCAAGGATCCAGAGGGATGCCAGGACCACCCTCGGGGGGAATGCAGGGTCCACCGGGCAATATGATGGGCCCCCCACCTCGTGGATTGGGGCCCAGAGACAATCAAGGGCTTCCTTCGCAGGGAGGTATGATGGGACCCCAAGACATGCGGGGTCCTTCACCACAGGGAAATATGATGGGTCACCAAGGGTCCCCCATGCAAGGGGCTTTGATGGGGCCACCAATGCATGGTCCCCAGGGTCAACAGAACCAACCCAGAGGACATGGCAATATGCAGGGAATGGGAAACATGCATGGAATGGCAAACTTGCAGGGGCCTCCTGGGAACATGCATGGGCATCCTGGTAATATGCAAGGACATCCTGGCAACATGCATGCACCTGGCAACATTCAAGGGCCAGGCAACATTCAAGGACCAGGAAATATGCACGGACCTCTAGGAAACATGCATGGCCCTGGAAACATGCAGGGCCCCCCAGGGAACATGCAAGGGCCTCAGGGGAACATGCAGGGGCCTCCAGGAAACATGCACGGCAACATACCAGGACCTCCAGGGAACATGCATGGACCAGGGACCATTCAAGGCCTCCCGCCGTTCATGCAGCAGGGCAAATCACCTCTGCTGGGTGAGGGTCCCAGAGGACAGTTCAACCAGGTGAGCGCTAACCACTTCAAGGTTTTAGTCTTGGACTGTAACTCCAGAACCAACTGCCTAATAACACATTTTGAAATGTATTCAAAGGTTCACTTGTTTTGAAGTGCATTCGTGTATCCAAGGTGTCAGGATCTCAGTTATATTTGTAAAGGTCTTGTATACCTGCTTCACCTGAAATATGTAATGACACAGATTTGCACTGGCAGCCTAAGACTAGTATTGCCCACGGGGCACTATCGTGTTTTTACTTTAAATGTGTTGCTCAGTTACTCTGAAACCCTCCTCAGGGACAAGAAAGAGTAAATTTGATGTTTTGTTTTTTAGGGAGCACAGAATCAAGGGCCGCCTCCATTGATGTCTGGGATGGTGCAACAAGGGCCGGGCCCCAATGGGAAAGGTAGTAGGACTTGTTGAAGTCTTCCCACTCTTACATGTGTGTCATTCCGGACAGTAATGGGTTGAGACTGTAGGCAAGTGTATGCTTATGCTGCACATTAAGACCATAATACATCCAGAGTAGATATTTGGTAGGCACAGCTATCACCTGTTCACATCTTCCTCTGTGGTTGTTTTCCTTATCCTATGATTTCACACTCTCTTCTTAAGAAGGTCCCTGAGTCAGGTATGGCCTCCACCCTGTCTTAGTGCCTCCACGAGGTGCCCAGGCTGGGCAGTCCGCTGTGGGCAGGGTTAGTGAATGGGCATGGCAGTCACCTGAAGAAAACATGATTCCTCATGTCAAATCGCGCTCTCTCTTCCAGCGTTCCCCACTCTGGCCATCCTCCTTAAGTTGCAGGTGGCCCAGGTTCTTAGGGAGGCTGGAAGGGAAGGTGTGCAGGGAGTGACGCTACAGTGGTCTGTTTGATTGACAGGTGATGGGCTGCTGGGTCCTTGCCCTGGCCACATGGTCAGAGCACCCAGCCCTGTCCAAAGTGTGATGATGTTCCAGCCCCACCAAGGAATGGGTGATCACTGGCATCCAGGGCCTGGCACCCCGGGACTCCCAGGTACCCCCAGGGAGTGGGTACCTCAAGGCGCCTCTGTGTCGAAGGTCAACACTCCAGGCCTTTTGTCCATCCAGCCGGGTGTCAAAAAGTGCTTTGGCTGCGTTAATTCACATTCCAGAATATTTGTGTTAAATGTGATCAGTTCTGAGACAAGATGTGACCCAATTCACGTTTTCTGTTCCAGTGGGGTTTTTTTAAGATGGAGTGGGCTGTTTCTTGTGATGCTGAAGGATAATGATCCACTGACATGAAATCAACAGTCCAACACAACTCTGTTCAATCACCAAGGCTGTGTTAACAATGTAGCTCTCCACTTTGCCTCTTCGCTCGCTCCCAGAGCTTTTGAGACTGGATGGGACAGAACCCTGGAGTGTTGTGGGTCTTGATCCACAAGGGGTTTCTGGGGGTTCAAAGAAAGGAGGTGTTCGGTTTGTGGCTATGATGTTGATTGAGGGGAGGCACAGCTGGGAAATGGTGCTGCACTGCTCAGTGTGGGGGTCCGTGGCTCCACATGACAAGGGGTGTCTTCCAATGGCGGACTATCGTACGTCCATAGTTTATGGTCCCCTGTTTTGTGGTTCCGGGTTGCTTCTGGGGGTCTGGCTGAGGCAGCTCTTATGGAAGTGCACAGTGGGCCCTTCCAAAACTGGCAAACCCCCCCCATGCGGGTTCTGTGTTGCTGTTTCAGGCAACCAGGGTTGTGATCACAAAGTAATCACTCCACACAGTGCACAGGGGGAAGACTTTTCCTGTTTTCATGTGCTCGCCGGCCAATACTGCGACCCAAATACCACATTGGACCTCTGCAAGCAGCAAGGTCAGCAAGAACAGGACATGGCATGTACAGAAGACTCACAACTTGCGTGCTCTCAACTTACGCAGCCGCAGTTTTTTGTAGGGAAAAATGCTTTATTCTCGGAAAAATGTGTTAAACATTCCTATGAGAGCAAGTTAGTGAGCCTATAGTCATCTTAAATACTTTCATTACCTTTTTTTCTACTGATATTTTATATCTTGTATTAATGCCTGGGGTTAGTAGGGGGTTATGTAACAGTTATAGGGTAAAATTTGACCAAAAGCGAATCTGGTTTTACGCGCTACTCAAAATCCCTAACCACAGCATAAGTTGTGAGTCGACTGTACTCCAGGTCTTTGAAACATTTACAGCCCAGATCCACCCCCAGGGGTTCAATTTCTCCCAGGCCGTGATGAGGGTGGTGGACTGTGGGGGTGATCTGTGTATTCCAGTGGGTCTCCCTGTTTTCAACAAGGCTGTGATCTGGGGATCTTGTCCCAGCAAGGGACGGTGATGGAAGTCTGTCACTTGCTGTTCAAGCCAATTTCAATTGCATTGCTTCCCACTGAGAGAATCCATTTGTCTAGGAGTTTGCAATCTTCAGTCCATTTGGTGTATCTTATTCTCCATTGTTGTCTTTTGTCTTATGAAAGGCCAAGATGATTATAAATGGTTATGGAGACAAATGGAGTGGCTTTGGAATGGAGTGGAACTAACCTCTCCTGGCCTAGTAGTGCAATTGAGTTTGGAAGTGCCTTTTTCAGTGGATGCTCTTTTAACAAAATCAGCCACCAAGGTGTTCTCTTTGGGATTTTCCACCTTTATTAGAATGAACTGTATTATGCCACATAGGGTGCAATAGGGATTTAAGATGCTAAATGTTTTAAATGTAGGGTTAGCCTTTTCCCTTTTTATGAGGCCTTCTGCTTGAGCATATCACCTGATGGCAGATTTGTAGGACTCAAATCACAAATCACAATCACTTGCGTTTGGGCTTTGACTCAGACCATCTATAAGCCATTTAGCACAAATAACAGTACAATCACTATTTCTCGTTAGTGTAAGAGGAAAATGGAAACTTACGAAAACTACAAGAAAGTCTCCTTCTACCCCATTAAACTCCAAAAACAAATATGAGTATTATAGATAAGACAAAGTAAGAGAGCAGCAAAAGGCTAAAACACCCAGATCACCCCTGAATACAGAGCATAACAGTCAAGTTTCTGAAGTTCCATGCAAAAAGAAACTTTTCTAAAGAATGTTTAGGTCCCAGATGTAGGTCAGCATGCCAAACAACAGCAAATAATTGAAAATAGTAGGGGAAAATATTAAAAAGATGGGGAGACAAGAATCTTTATAGTTTGTGATTCTTTGCACAGTGTATTGTCTGCTTTTGTTAAGCAGTATTGTAAACTGAGCGTTATGATTCGAGGTTTTAAGGAGCTCATACTCTGTGTCTGTGTCACAGGGCTGGTTTAATGGCAGTAGCTGTAGGTGGGGTCCCTATGCTTAGTTCTCCAGCTGCAGTTGGGGAGCAGTGCCGCCCAGCTTCTCACTGTAGAGGTTAACGTCCGAGACGCTGGCGGACAGGTCACTCATCCGCTTCCGTCTCGTTGTCAGGAGACTCCCGCGGGCCCCCCAACCACCACATGGGTCCCCCTCTGGAGCGGCAGGGTGCCGGAGTTCCAGACCAAGCTTTAGAAAGAGGGGGGCCTTTCTGGGGGGACTCCCGAGACGGGCTCCGAGGCGCTCCTCCGGACTTTGAGGGCCCAGAGGACCGGTTCCACCCCAGGGGGGAGGACGGCTGGAGGCAGCAGCAGCAACAACAGCAACAGCAACAACAGCAGCAGCAGCAGCAGCAGCAGCGCGGCCAGAACCAGGAATTCCGTGAGGGGGACAGCCGGGCCCATGGCAGAGGGGGCCCCTCTGGGAACTGGGAGGGCCGTCGGACGTCGGAGGAGAGGTTCCTCCCCCGGGATGGCGATGACGCCCGCTTCAGGGGGAGAAGAGAAGACCGGTGCGTTGCTGGGACTGCTGTGAGCAGTTGCAGGAGCTCTGAGGAGCCTCATCCACATCTGTTTCCTTCTTGTTTCACACTTGTTCATGGCCCTAGCATGGTTGCCATGTCCGTCCATCTCTCCATCTGCTTCCTAACCCCTTCCAGTTCAGGGTCACAGGGGAGCAACGGGTACAAGGCAGGGTAAACCCCACACAGGGCGCCAATCCATCGTAGGGCAGACACACAGACACTCACTCACACCAAGGCCAATCTTCCCAGAACCGTGTTAACCTACCAGTATGTCTTTTGACTCCCACCCCACCCCCCCCAAAGCATGAAATCGTAAAAATAAAACTGCGTTCGAAATACCAAATTATTTTTTATTTTCCTGTAACATTTTCAAAAAGCTTTTTAATTGCAGATATAAGTACCTTCTTATATTTTCTGGTGACGTGCTGCAGCTCTTTAAACGAAGGAGTCTGAGTGCTGATTAGCGATTAGTGGTGGCTGAGTGAGTCCCCTGTCCTGACCGGTCCTGACCAGCTCCCTGCGGTCTTTGTGCAGGTTCGAGAGCTATGATGTCTCCGGAGAAAACTTCGAGCAGAGGCAGCGTGACCAGAGGCGTCCCCTCCATGGCCGGCACAGCCAGGACTTCGACCACGAGCAGCCCGAGGAATCGTGAGTCATGCGTTTAAGCTCGTAGCAGGACTGGGAGAAATTGGACTCTTCGACTTCCTGAATTCTCCCTTTCCTTTGACATAATGCAAAAACTTCAGGTGGTGCGTTTTTGTGTTTTGAGGCTTCAAGTGAACCCATTTAATTGACATAGGCTGAGCACATCTCTTTTTTTAGAAAAATAATCTGCTTATATTAATATACATAAGAGAGGCCTTGGTTAATTTTCATCAAAACACATTTTTGAATGTTTATAAGGAGACAATAACTATATTGGCAATAACTATGAGGGGACCTCCTAAGAGGAACTAAATATCTTAAAACCCAAAAGCCATGTGTTTCTGGTTAGGATTGCAGCAGCACAGAACCTGTTCTGGACACAAAAGTCATAAGTTTGGACTGCATCCGGGACAGGAAGCCAGGTCACTGGACTCAAGCACATAGGGACAAAACCCACATTAACTTCACACAAGAGGCTTTCCAGACGGGGATTGAATCCAGGAAATGAAACAGCACATTTGTTGCCTTTCTGCAAAGATCTGTGTAGAGCCCTAAAATCTGTTGAGTTTTCTGTTCGTTTCCCACCTTAAGTTCATAACTGTAGGTATTCAGCTGAAGTTCATAACTGTAAGACATTCTACGTTAGGGAGTAACAGATCAGCTTGTTGCTGGAAGTCTTGTGTTCTGCTAAGTCTCAGCAGATCGTGGATAAGCACTCTATCTAGAGGCTCCTAAAGGATAGGGTTCACCAGAGAAAATGAAAAAATGCAGTTTAGCATGCTTCTCACTGTCTGTTGAGCAGTTTTGCAGATACATTATTTGATGTGTATATACAGGTAACCTTCATGTAAAACCAGTATTCTTGTGGCTTGTTGTGGGAAATTCTTCATCAGAGGAGCAGGACACAGTCTTCAGTTTCAGGAGCAGATTCAGTTTTATTGAGCTCAATAATGACATCAACGTGCGTTTGGTCTGCCCCACAGAACAGACAATCCTGCAGGGGTTTCCCAGCTCTTATATACAGTCAGGAGAAAGTTTGTTTCACAATATGAGTGCTTGTCCTGTTCTTTGATATGTAATTAAATTTTGTCCTACTGTCTTGCTTTAGGTTCTGTCCTTTGAAATGCAGCAGACATTGGTCTGGTTTATCCTGTTTGTGGGTGTTGTTCCTGTCGTTAAGACACTGGGGCTGCTAAAGCAAGTCAGCTTTATGGCATCTTAGTGTAACTTTTGTTTGAGGCTAAATTAACAGACCCCATCAACCCCATGTGCTTAAGTGGTGATACTTTGATGCTGGATAAGTGAAATATATACATGTCCCACTTCATGGCTCATGCTGATCATGGAGCCTGTTGAAGGCGAGGCTGTCTGGGTATATCACAGGGCATTACAAGCAGGAGTTGTGATGGAGAAGGTTGCTGGCCAGGCAGGCTGACTCAGCCGTGTCCTTGTGGCAGGTTCCGGAGGGGCGGTCCTTCCCGGAGCGACACTCGAGGAGGCCGGGGCTTCTCGGAGGACTTCGGGGGCGACGAGAGTTTTGATCAACCAGAGGAAAAGGGCAGGGCCTGGGACGCTGGAAGAAGAGGGAGGAATCGTGGGACACCCAGAGCGGGTAAGAGGACGCCACTGTTACTCCCTGCCCACAATGTCTCTATTCCCAGCTCCCTTTATTCTGGATTAGCAACAGAGCACTCCTTTTCATTCATTTAAAATGGGAAATATTAACCATGACCAGTCCATTTCCTGACTAGTTTTAACGTCCAGCATTGTTAGCTCTTTCTGTCATTTTGGAGCAAGCTTTGCAGGGATTTAGAATTATAAAAGATGTCTCAATGTTTAAAGGTATATAATGATAGGGATACCCAGTTTTATCCTGCAGTGATGCTACAGTCAGGAAGCTGCGCACTCCAGTAATACCCATAATATATCATGAAAAACTTGTCACTCTACTTACACATGTATTAGAGTGATATATTAGGGATTAGATGTTTTTGGTGTAGTTTTTCTTAATTGATCATTCATGATTCTGAAACAAGTCAAGTGCCTTGTTGCATAAACAAGAAATCTCCACATTACCGTGAGTTTTAATTGGACACAGGTGATGAATGTGAAGCCTGGTGAAAACCAGGGAAACGTGTCAAGAGAAAAGCTGTGCAATTTGTAACATTCCAGCTGTACGCTGTCTGTCGGGGATAGGCAGAATGAATTCACCCGTCACGTCTGTCACAAAAATTCCAAAAAAAGAGTCATTTTCCTGATAATGTTGTTACAGTTTTAAGTGTAGATGTTTCCTTTGATGCTCCATGTGGTTATAATTCATTTTTTAGCAAGCTTGTTCTGTGCTCATAGATGGGCTGGAGTAATTTAAATCATAGTGAGCCCCTGCTGAAATTATGAAAGTATAGCAAGTCATTTATGCTACATACTTTTCGCAGATTTATAAGCAAAGGTCGTTGTTTTATTTTATATTGCAGTATGGAGCATGTCATTGAACTGATTGCAATTCGTTTTCTTTCTGAGCTAATTGTTATTGTTTACAGGGGGACGGAAGGGGCTGCTGCCCACCCCAGATGACATCCCGCCTCACTATGATGGAGGACGAAAGCCAGAGAACTGGGAAGGAGGGCGAGACCAGGGTAAGAGGGGCTGGGTGTGGGAGGGGGTGGCGAGACCAGGGTAAGAGGGTTCTGTGCTGGGTGTTTGTGAGTGCTGCTTGCTTGCTGTGGTGCAGTCACACAGTCATCTCCTGAGCCAACACTGAAACGTCACACGAACACAAGCGTATGAAGAAACGGGAGGTGACGAGCAGGGGCCGTGGGCAGCCTGATGTTATGAAGCATCGATCAGCACAGTTTTCACGTGTACTTCGTGCCCACAGGCCACGAACACTTCAGAGACGGGCCACGGCCGGATCACCCCACTCGCGACAGCCCGTCCCCTGCCAGCAGGGAGCGCTCTTCTTCACTGCAGGGCATGGACATGGCGTCGCTGCCGCCCCGCAAGAGGCCCTGGCACGACGGGCCGGGCACAGGAGACCCCCGTGAGAGAGACTCGCCAGTGAGTGGCCCTGACGATCGAGGCCCAGGTAAGAGAGCCATGTGCTAACCATGGCAACAGCCGAGCCCCAAACACAGGTGGAGTCTCTTTCTCCTGGGATAATGAAGCATAGGTCATCAAAGCCTACGTCATCACGCAATGTGATAGCCATTGACTTACTAATGGCTGTTTCTTTCTTTACAAAAACAGCGTTTTTCCATTTTAATTGTGGAAATAGCAAGTTATCATGGACCTTGATAAGAAAATGAGAATGCGACCTATAAAAGGAGTCCAGTTGATTCATCATGCACAATTGTTCAACAGTAGCTGATGGATTGCTACAGTCCCAGAATCACGCAAAGCAGCAGACGCGTCGTGAGATGCCTGCAGTGCGAGAGTATCCATTAATGTCACACTTTCACACTGATGTTTAAAGGGAATCTTTCCGTGTCTTTAATGGAGGTTTTTAGGATTTTGCTACTTGTGCTCAGACAGTTATTCTGGCAGTAGCAAAATGATTGTTATCCGTGCGTCTGGTAAAGTTTCTTGTTTGCTGAATTACAGTAAGGCTTGATGTTGTGACTCAGTCGGCTGGCGGGAGCCATGCAGGTGCCTAAGAGCTCTGTGTTTGTGACGCAGGACGCAGCTCTTCTCAGCGAGGGCTGAAGCTCGGGCGCTCCGGCTCGCAGGATGGAGACCCGCACAGAGAGGAGAGCAGCTATGGGGGCTCGGCCCGGGGGGCGAGAGGAGGCTGGGGTCGCGGGGGCGGCGGCGGCAGCGGCGGTGGTGGAGGAGGAGGAGGAGGGAATGTGAACAGCTCGCGAAGAGGCTCGTCACGCGGACCCTCGCGAGGAAGCCGGGGCCGGTAGGACAGGGAGGACTGCTGCAGGAGGAGAGAGACATGATGAGAGGACATGTGAGCCTCGAACTGGGCAACGCGGGGGGACAGCGGGACAGACGGACACCAAGCCGAGGGCGTGTCGGCAGCAGAGGCCGGATGCTGGCGAAGGAAGGCGGGAGCCTGTCATTTCCACAAAGAACCTCTTGGCTTTGGGGCCTACAGGGGGGCCAGGATGCTAAACCCAAAGGAGTCAATCCTGCCATTTCCATTGGCACCATCACATCATCAGCTGGACTCAAAGCAGAATCTCCCTGTGTGTATATAAATGAGTTTGTACATGTGCTCGGTTTTCTTCTGTCATGGTAGCCCATCCCGGCTCCTTCGGTATCCCATAGTTTGCAGTACCTGTAACTGGAAAAGGTCCATTTAACAAGCATCAGGCTTCTTCCATGCAGCCTTTCCACTGCCTCTGATGTTCACACTGTATTTTTACACAGCGGGCGTTTCTTGTTCTCCCAAAGGATTTCCCAGGTGGCTTTTTTTTTTCTACACATTTCACTGTTTCACCCTTTTTGAAACCCCTCCCGATCCTCCTTCACTTATAAGCACACACACCTCTTGGATGACCTAGCAGTCCCAGCTTGACTAGGTCATTGACTCAGCTTGTCCCAGCTCGACTAGGTTATTCCCGCTGGCGTGATGTCAACTAACACGTATGTCCCTCGTTTATTGTTTTGAAATGTCTCAAAAATACGGTGTACAAAATATGGTACAGGAACGAGATATTCAAGCATTGAAGCCCTGTGTCTTGTGTGGGCTCTCCCTGTGTCTGAGGTGGCGGCAGCAGCCTTAAAAGCTGCTCACAGTCTCTGCTCTGCCTCTTTCAGCTGTTTTCTGTTGAATCATGTCAGGTTAAGCCAGGCTTAGTATGTCAAAAACCCCTGGATATGAGGAAACAACATTGGGGGGAGAATCCTTCTGGAGTGTGGTATATAATAGTTTGGATCAAGAACCAAAACAAATATAAACTGATTGTAGAGGTGGCCATTTCATCATACCATCTGTTATAGGCAGTACAAATACATTTCATTTTAGTACAAGTTTTTGACATTTTTCATATCACAGATTTTAACAATGCTATCTTCTAGTGTGTTTTTTAAATACAAATCGAGATACATTTGTTGTGCCAGAATTACAATGCGGAGACAAATGTCATGCCTAGTGTCATCAGAAAACCGGGAAGATTCAACATGACAGAAAATGTGAAGTCCATTGTGCAGTCTTTTGCATGTATGGAAAGATAAGATAGGCACATGTTCAAAAATGGCAGAATATGTAACAGGAATGGAGTAATGACAACAGGGGAAATGTATTTTCTTAACTTTAGTAATCTGTTTTTCTACATTGGCACTTGCTGAAAGGCTGTGCATGAATTCAGGCCTGCAAACCTGATGTTAAAATGTATCCTTTTAAATTTCTACACTTGACACTTTCAGCTAACGTAATCGTAACCACTTTCGGTCCCCCAAGATGTCCAGCCCCCTAACAAAATATGCCCCAAGATGTTTTGTCACACTCCCAGTTTTATGAACTGAAAAACTCTTTTATGCCTGCAGTCATTCGCGTTTTCTTTCTAGGGCAGAGCCATTGGGATCTAAGGTGTAAATGATATACAGGAAGGATCTAACTAATGGAGACCCTATTTGTGAATCTTGGTTTCAAAGAGGAGAAATGTGCCTCCTGACAAAGGTGTGTGTAAAATCCCAGTGTTGAAGGATCAGGTGCTTTGGAACACCAGTCCAGAGATGTTCTCACTGATTCAAAGAATTTAATGTTGCTAACTGTACAGTGTTCTTTTTTTCTCAGGTGAGTACATTCTGATACAAAAAGGAGGGGTCCCATTTCTGATTTTTCTTTACAGAAATCCTTATTTTCCTTGATTTTTTTAAAAAAACATCTTAAAAATGGGAGAAAAAAAAATCTGTATACTGAACTCTAACATTACCAGGCGCCTTTCAGAGATACAGAGAGGTGAGTTTCTTTGTAAATGTATAGTTTGTCAAGGAATTGTCATATTGTTTTGTCATTTTTTTGTATGAAACTGCAATAGAAATTTGTGCAAAATTTACCAAAAAACTTCTCGTTTCATGCTTCTTTATTTTCCTTTTTGCTCGCTGAATGTCAGAACTTTCTGAGCACTGTGGTAGCATCTCCTATATCCACTTGAATTTATACTTTAATTGCATTAGAAAGTAGACTTGCCCATTTCAAGGAATATTGATCAGGGTATTCCGCAGGCACTGGAAAAGTAGGAGTGGGAGTGTGAGGCTTCACAGTGCAGGGTGAATGCAAATAACTGATGAGAACTTAAGAAAGGGTACAAAGACAAGGCCTCTTGGCCTATCGAGCAGGTAATGGATCCAAGGATCTAATTCTTCTGTTTCTTGAAAGAAGCCAGAGTGCCACCTTTCACAGCATGAGCTGTGTTTTGTATTCCTGCTCTCATTTCACAGTTGCCACCATATGAGGGCTACAGTGTGAGGTGTGCCAGTTCCAGGTATGCTTGAGAAGAGGTGAATGGCACACAAGACTGCTTTGTTTACACTTGCAGTTAGACTAGAGAGCTCCCAGTCAGTTCTTCACGACCCAGAATCAGCTGGTGTGGGTTTTTATAACTGTTCAAGTAAATTACTCTTGGCAAGTAAAACAACAAATCCTGAGTTCTCGGTGTTTGGACACTGGACGATATTTTTACATTTATAGTTTATTTTAGTTGATAAGGAATGAACAATTGCATAAAATTGTAAGCTTTTCACACCAGTGAGCCACTAGCTAGCAACAAGACAGTAAAACAGGTTCACATAAGAATCTGAACTGAAGAGTGACAAAAATAAAACAGTGGTTAATACAATTGTTTTGGGCGAAATAAGCAGTTACATTTGGTCTCTTTTTTCAGTTCTAAACCCAGTTTTCATGGTCTATGCTAAAGACAACAGCCCTAGCTGAGATGCAGCTGTGTCCCTAATGTGATTAATAAATTCACAGATCTCCCATCGCTCATAACATGTTAATCAAACACTCCATAATCTGTCAGTGAACGGCCCGTACTCGGGCCGTTTGCTTCACCTGGATCCGGGTTGGATTTCTTTTCGCTGTGAGAAAAACTGCTTTTATCCATCCCAGCTTTTCACATCATCCACAATTGCCACAGCATATTCATTCCTTCACCGAAGAAGACCCTATATCCTTACTGAGGGGCGCTTTGATGTCGCCTAGGAAAGTCCCTCATTTAACCATTTTAATACCCGATTCACAAGTAGTGGAACAAAGCACAATACCGTATGCTTGAAAGCCTAGTTCAAGAATCCAGGGAGACTGTTCTACATCTCATTTGGCATTTTTTAAATTAAAAGATTCTGTCGGGCGTACGATTTGTCCCCAGCATCTGTGCCTTCCAGTCTGCTGTCGGGAGTCAGATGGGCATGGTCTTCGATGAAACAGTTCGCTTGATGGCTGACGCTGCCATGCTACCAAGGAACTTCATCCCTGCGGTCCCTCCTGGGAGCAGGGCAATAATGTACCCAGCTATGGCAGCGACCTGCACCACAGCCCCGAGCGCGGTGAGCGCCGTGCTGTGGAGACTGAGCGCCGCGTACAGAGTGCCCGTGAGAGAGCACAGGTACAAGGCAGCACCGGGGGACGGGGTCGTGAGAAGTTTGCTGGGTCCCCGCAGTATCCCCGCCCCCAACAGAGCAAAAACAGATCCGAGGGACCAGAGCAGAGCGAACTTGCGGGCCTTGAGCAGCAGCAACGGGGCGTACAGAGCAGACAATCCGAAGCACAGCACAGAAATCGCAATGCAGACTCCAAAGGCGACCAGCCTCTGCGAGCGGCTCATGCCGGGCAGGCAGGCATCTGGCTCGGAGGACCATGGCCAGGAAACGCCGCTGCTCGACCCTTGGCCCGCACTGTTGTTGGCAGTCCCCGAGAAAGAGCTAGACCAGCGACCGAACCAGCTTCCGTTTACTGAGCTCGTCTCGCCGATATCGATGGCAGTACTTGAGCTCGGCTGCGATCCTGCCTTTGCGCCGCTTTTGGACTGAGCCAAATACTCCTGCAGCTGCCTGTTCAAATCGGCCATGACTCTCGTAGGTGTTCATCCAGCTAGCTCATCCCGACACCCCGTGTATGACTCGGGAAGACAGGAAGCAGCTCATCGTCACTGAAATGCGTGTTCACATGTGACTACATGTAACAGCAACCTTGGGCCGTGTGGAAGGGGGTAGAGTTAAAGAGGCGTCAGATAGCTCACCGAGATGTGAACGGACACACACGTGAAGTTATTTTTGTGATTGTTATTGGTATACATCTCACATGGGTCCTTTATTGTGCTCTTCTCTAGCACATACATACCGATGCTATTACAACATATTAAGGAACAAACAGGGGTTTGAAATTACAAGCGGAAAGAACTGTTTCGGCTGTGGAGTCTCTTCAGGTGTGCGTGGAGAATGAGGACTGCAGGACTGTGATGAGAAGTATATGTGAGATTAGGCAAGAAGACGGAGTGGGTCGCCAGGTTTCATCCTGGTGTATCTGGAGGTTTTCCAGGTGTGTTAAAGTATTTCTTTAGTCAATTTCTTGTGTTCAATATTAACAAATATAATCTTTTTGCGTCTCCCTGTTTTGACTCATTTTCTCGTCTCCTCTGTCCATTATTCTCCGGTGTTTATATACCCGCAATTTTTGTGTTCTCCCTCACTTCTCACGACAAAATCTCTGTAGAGTTCAGTAAATAAAATATGGCGACCTGGAAAAACCTGGTTCGGTTAAGCCAATAACGAGTTTATCCAAAACTTCAGGATGTAAGCTGTACTGGAAATGTGAAGACACACTGGCCCAGTAGGACAGATTGGGGTCCCTTGGGGTAAAGAGATGAAAATAGTGTTGCTATTGTTGATCCCAATTTCAGTTTTCACCTTGCTTCTGAATTAAAGCGCATAGACTGAACGATAATTGTTAAATGAAATCATTTAAATCGATGCTATTTGAATGTTTATTGTGTTTCTATACACTGCCAGTATTTGGAGTATTGCATATTTGCACTATGCCTTTTACAGGTTTTATTTTGTTGTTATGGGCATTAATGGTTTGCGTCTCTTTGAAAGTACAACACGTAATGCTGATGAGATGTTTAGATGATCTGATCGGTGGAAGCTTTTGTTGACGAATATATCATCATAATCGCGTGGTTGTAATTCTGTGTAGTTTACGCCTTGATTTGTTTCCATTTAGAAGCGACGTGTAGAGGCCATCAAACCGGTAAGGAGTGTGGAAAGCAGCGGAAAGGCGAGGTTTAGCTGAACAAATTACATAACTAGTAGACGTGCGGTGGAATTAAAATTTACGAAAAGGTAAACATGTCGGTGATCTGGTGTTTTCATTAAAATAATATTTACTGTTAATTATTGATGATAAGACTTTTTAATTCATTAATTTAAATTGGTATCAGTTCCTCTAGTCTAGTTTAGAGCGTCGATATCATTACGAGCTTCAGTGTCGTATATTGTAACTGCGTATTGTTTCAGTTATATAATGTTTTCATTTTTATTTTAAGCAATATCATATTATCATTACCTCTAATCCATCCAGGTTGTATGGATTTGGGTTTAACACAATGAAGACGACAGAAAGTGGTTTTCGATCTAGGTTATCTATCGACGTTATTTTGTACCGAGAGTTCAGAGGATTCGCATGAGACAAAATATTTGTGCAATTTTAGATCAAGAGCTATAAGAATAAAAATAGAGAAAATCCACCAGAAAGAATAAAACAACGGAAAATACTTCAGATTTATCAATGACATTGCGTAGATGTATAGTTCTGCCGAGAAATTCCTTTTGCACATGAGTCTCGCTTATTTTATTTTTAGTTTTCGGATTTGACTACAATGATATGAAACCATATTACTTGCTTGAGTAACCCCTTGAAAAATAAAATAATAAATCGGTTATTACAGTTCCAGAGGACATAGTGGAGGTAAAGCACATTCCAGTATTCCAGTTTTCCAGCTGAAAGAGCGGTTGGAGTTGTGGCGAAACACAAATCCTTGGAAATAGAATAGAATCCTTACCAGCTGTGCGAGTTTTGACCCGTTACTGAATGCGACTCTCCCTGTAATGGTATACACATTTGTCGGTCTGGACCTAAAAATAAGGGCAGTTGTTCATTTCAGTAATCGGACAAGACATGCGTATACCGCCCGCATACAAGTACGTTGTCTGTTTCCACCCTTCTACAAGCGCAGTGAAGTGTTATAAAAATACAAAAACACAATATTGTCATAAAGGGGCGTCAATGTCCCAGAATTATGCAAATGTTCGTAACAAAAGCGCACACGCTGGTGATACACGAGTGTGAATCTATTGATCGGAGGCCTGTTTTCTTATTCTGGTGGCAATCAGAAGCACGGAAAAGACCCAATGCAAGTTGGAAGGCTTGTCGTGAGTGTAGGGGCTGCCGATGGTGAGAGAAAGCAATTCTTCAGACACCCGGCTGGTCTATAATTATCCCTGTGCCTCATTGGTGCTTCGCCCCTGAAGCCTTTTTTGGAAGGTTGTCTGATTTGTAACCCGCCTGCCCCTCACAAGGCAGATGGGCTCTGGGCACAAGAACAGACGAAGGGGACAGAGTTCAGATTGACTGCTGAAACAAGAGAAGGCGAGGAAGGATTTGGTCTGGTACACCACTGAAGGAACCAGGTGAGTCATTGGTTTCTAGCACACACACTTGAGAGCACATCTGTGGAAACCACATGCTAATTTTGCAATGCATGTGCATGTTGTTGCTGGATAAACCTTGTGTTGTGTTTAAAGAAAAGTGCTAAATTCCAAAACGTCCCGATTTTCTGTTCCAAAGCGTTCGTAGATCTTCTCTTCAGAGATTTCAATCAATCAGTCAATGAAGGTTTATTTATCAATGCGCGAATAGTACAGCACACAGCTGTGTTGTCGGCAATGAAATGCATCACCCGCAAGCTGGGTAAGAGGGATAGAAAAGTAGGACAGAAGTTTATAAGGATTAGGTTAAGATTAGGATCCAATAAATCATACAATTGCAATTTACAATGCAGTTACAGATTGTGCGAAAGTAACACAAGGAGATATGGTAGGATAAGAGCTATTAGCGCTGTTCATATGTGTCCTGAGAGTACAACGTGACAGGAGGGCACCGGTGCACCCTATCAGTTCAAGTTGCTTTTTGTCAGCGGCCGTTTGGGTAACTGCAGGCGTCTGCTGTGGTTGACTGTTTAGCAGTCTTACTGCCTGGGGGAAGAAGCTGTTACGAATCCTGGTGATCTTGGTCTGTATACTTCGGTATCATTTTCCAGATGGTAGTAGAGAGAACAAGTTGAGTTAGGGTGACTGGGGTCCCTGAGGATAGACCAAGGCTTCTTGAGGCATCTAACAGAGTAGATATCCTCGATGTTCGGTAGCGTGTAGCCGGTAGTGTTTTGAGCCAGTTTCTCCACCTTCTGGAGTACCTTGTGCTCTCAGGCGGATCAGTTACCATACCAGGCAGTGATACAGCTGGTTAGGATGCTTTCAGTGGTGCACTTGAACTTGAACTTTATTGCCATATGTAACCGGTACATGTACTGGTACAATGGAATTCTTACTTACAGAAAGTCTCTCGATTGTTAAAACAAGTGTAAAAACACAAAGTGCAGACAGTGCATCAAGACAATATACAAACAGTAGACAGTGTACAAGTAAACAGTTTGAATGTAAACAAAACAGACGTGTAAACAATGACTGGAGATGTGCAATAAATTAGAAATCATAATGAGGTAGATGGCGTAGGTGTGGTCTGAGGGGCATGGCTAAATATGTTCGCCAATCGTAGAAGTACGATTGACATACAGTACAGAAGTACTGTAAATGTTGGTCAACGTGTGACGGCACGCTGAACGTCTTTAGTCTGCGGAGAAAGAATAGGAGCTGCCAGGCTTGTTTTGGCTAGATTTTGTGACACTCGTAATTTCTCAGTCACCTGTGAAATGTGAATTTTATTTCACCCCTGCTTTGCGTCCCTTGATCTAAGGCTGCTAAAGTCTGCGTAGTAACCTTCCTTGACGTTTTATGTATTTAAATGGGAAATGTGCATGAGCTGTCCCATCATATACTGACCTTAATGGCCCTGCACACCAGATGTTATTGTATGGTGTTTCTGCTGTATCAGCACTCCGCGGAATGGTGGCACAACAGCTCAAGGTAATGTGGAACTCTGCTTTCTGGTTATTTTTCTGATCCAGGCGCCATGTCAGTCTCCCAGATCACGCCCTCCCTGTTTCTGAGCAGCGCGGACGCCGCCCTAAACCGGGCCCTGGTCTCTTCCAAGGGCATCACTCTCATTGTCAACGTCACGCTGGCCCACGCCTGCCCCGCCTACCGGGGGGTGGAGTGCGTGCGTGTGCCCGTGTCGGATCTGCCCCACGCTCGCCTGGGGGACCACTTTGACAGCGTGGCACTGCGCATCCACAACAACCGCGCGGGAAGCACGCTCGTGCACTGCGCCGCGGGGATGAGCCGCGCCCCCACCATGGTAATGGCCTACCTCATGAGGTACAAGGGGGTGACCCTGCGCGAGGCCCACGAGTGGGTCAGGGGCAGCCGTCCCTACATCCGCCCCAACGCTGGCTTCTGGAGGCAGCTGCTGGACTACGAGAAGAAGCTGTACGGTAGGAACACGGTCAAAATGGCCGCCTCTCCTCTGGGCGTACTGCCTGAAGCCAAGGACCAGGAGCGCAGCCCCAGATACTGCCTGAACTTTTGATACAAGCTGGGACACTCCCTTCCTTCAAAGCAAGTGCCTCATTCTGCATAGCCAACAGCCAGGGGTGTCCTAATCCAGTCCTCAAAGGCCACAGGGCTTTCTCTCTTACAAATGAGTTATTTGTATTTTAATGACATTTTTTACAGTTTTCTGAAACAGCTACTACAGTTTTAAGGATAGTTTAAACCTGGGGTCTCCCAATCTCAGATTTGGACACTCTTTGGACTATAAATGGGACCATTTTCCTTTGGAATCATTTTGAAAATGTTTTTTTCCATTTATGGGAAAAAAAACAATTCCATGGATACCTTTCCAAGGTAGCCACTGTGACATAATCTGAAGCATAATGTCCAGTGTATTAATTTCAGGAACTATGTAAAAAAGTGGAGAATGAAGTGGAGGGAGACCGAGATACCTGAGGCAGCATAACAACAACCCACTGGTGCAAAAACAGTATAAGATGGTAGGGAGATTAGTTAGAACGTCTGTCTTTTATTTTTTTGCTTTAGCATTTTTTATTTACTGAGCATCAAATGAAATGTATCACTTATAACTACAGCACATACACCAGCCATGAACACAGGAAACATTTATTAATGTAATTAATTCATTTTGTTATCAGGAAAATGTCATTTTGTTGGTAGCAGGTGCACTATCATTTTATTCAGACATGACAAAAAAATTATGGTGATTAACATTTGAATTCAGTATGGATGATTTCAGTGGGTCAATCAATGGGTTGTAGTAAGTCACAGACTAGTAGCAAGTGCGACTGACATTGAAAGCAATATCAACTGTACATTAGGGAGACAAACTTGGTGACAAATGCTGTCTTTTGGGATTCTGTTCTATTCCTCTCAAGAGAGCCTGGACAAGCACATTCCTTCTCCCTGGTCTCTGAGCCCTACATGCCACATGACATCCCAACTCATCAAACGGATGTTTAAAGAGGATCAGCTTGAGTTGGGCGAGTAGAGCATCATGTCAAACTCTCATCTCAGAAGAGAGCTATTCTGTCATGCGCATGTGTTGTCCTGCTGCAATGTTGTCACAACTCCAGAGAAGAAGCCCTGCTCAGATCATCACACCTGGACCTGTGGTCTCCCAGACTGTAGGTAGCCAATCACTTTTTAACTGTTTAACTACATATCCTAACAGGCTAGAAATGGCAAGTGACAGTGTGCTAACTTATTCCAGCTTCCATCATACTGACAAACCTATCACATGCAAATATGCAAAATATAGTAAGTGTGGTAAGATGGTAAGTTTGTATTGATACTCAGCATCTTGCATATACTAGTTAGGTAGTTGGCTTAAATGTAAATTTCTGAGATTAAGACTTTAGCTAAACGGATGTACAGCTATCACAGTTCTGACTAATCACACTACCCTTTGAAGGCACACCACCAGGTACACTGCCACAGAACCAGGAACGTTATAAGGTCTTTGTGTTTCTTTGCTGCATGCTAAAATCTCAATTTGTGATAATTTTGCTGTATTAAAAAATTAAGGTATGTTGAATCTGATTGACGAGGATTTTATTACAAAATACAGTGAACTCATTGTATACAAGTCATGTCAATCCTGGATGATTATTGTATTTGGATTTGTATGAATTAATGAAACAGAGAACATGAAACGTTAAGCTTTAAACCAGCTTATTTAAATTGGAAAATGTCTTGTTTAAGATTTCTTATAACCTTCATAATAAAACTGTACCCACGTACTGACCAATGTGCTTTATCGAGAACACAAGAGCACAGATGAAAAACAAGCTACCTTGTGCAAACTACCCCAGAATTGTTGTGCTCAACAGGAAAAACAAAGAATAATAACATTTAATAATAAATGGTTATTTTCATCCCAAAGGAGGTAAACCATTTCATCCACTACTGGATTATGTACAGTAATCTTACTACATGGCAAATTGAGAAATTGCTTCACAAATTGAGCTAAGGGGAAATTTAAGCAAGCCAGAGTGTGCAAGCTCAGGCTGGAATGTAGAGAGTAGGTATGCCAACACCACTAACAGCAGTATCCTGATATTCATTAGGACTCCCATCTCAGTACTGACCAGGTCCAGCCATGCTGAATTTCTGAGAGCTGATGAAATCAGGATACAGCCCCTACTTTTCAGCAAAATGTCCCTTTCTCCTGTTTCTGATACCTCCATAGCAAATTCTATAGCCTGTTGAGCAATCATTATGTCTCACTGCAGAGACAAACATTGTCTCCATTATTTTTAATGGTACACACTTAAAGCAAAAGACAATGTTTTTAAACTACATCTATTTTCACCTGTCTCAGCAGAAAATCTAAAAAACAAATCAACTGAATGAGGTTTTCTTTATTTGTTAAACATATTTTACCAAAGGAATGAATACGTTCTGCTCAGTGTCTTGTTCTTCTTGTTCTAGCATCAAGTAAAAACTACTGAATATAAACATTTCCATTAAAGTTGTACAAATGCAGATTTTCGGATTGTTCCGATTCCTCTTGTTGGCAATTCAGAGATACCTAAGTATACAAACCATGACACCCTGGCTGCTCTAGAGGCTGCCTACTGACCTGTAAAAGACTTGGATGGGGTGTTGAGAAGGTTTTTCTCAAAAATAATAAAAACATAATCAGAAAAATAACAGTTTACACAACAAACTTGTAAAAACAAAGTTGTCAGGAGAAGTACATTGTCCTGATTTCTGCCTCTCTGACAAGGAACACCAGTTTTAGCTGCCTCCTTTTATAAAAATGTCAGAGAATGTGGCTTTGTCTGAACAACAACTGAAGATTTGCCTCGTCGCTCTCCTGTCTCATTCAATACTGGAAGCTTCTCTTGGTCTGAATGTCGTCCAGTATCTGCTGCAGTTCCTCCTCTTCAAATCGGCCCTCCAGACTGCCATTGTGGAGAAACAGAGGAAGAGACGGTAAGAAATCTCTACTCATATTAGAGCTACAGAATAAATCTTCGTGTCTGCTTATCCCACTAGTGTTTTATCCAACCCAGTGCAATGTCTAAAAATCAAACCATAACTAGCCATTTTTAGGAAAGTAGACCCACTCCATAGCAGAGCCTGTTATGTCATCTTCTAGTACTGTTTCCTCAAATCCAATGCCTCTATCTCTACTGAACAATGAACTTTAGGTATTAGTGTTCAATTATGAAGCCAGCAGGTCTTAAGGTCACCCTTAACCAAGTTTATTTAATTTTTGTGGAACAAAAATACATTTTTTACATGAGCCTACTAAAGCACGAGCTCCCTAACTGTGCATATGACCACAATAGTTTCTAAGTCTTTGGAAACTGATTATTTGAATGTCACTCTCAATGAAATACTGGATTATGACTCTCCAAAAACTGGGATCTGTCTAAAGAGAGCAAGAGAGTGCTTAAAACGAACAGCTGTTCTTCCATAATGTATTTCTTTCCCAATAATCCCAATGTAATACTTATGCTGGGTTGTAAAGGAGTCGATTCTATTGCTGTCTTCACAGACTGTGCCTTAGAACCTCTACCGAGCATCGACCTCCAAGAGCCGGGTGTTCAGACAACGGGTCTTGGGAGGAGAAATACGGGGCGGCGCGGCCAGCAGACTCAAACGTGCGACGAGAAGCGGCCGTGGCAGCACACCGACCTTGGAATAAGGGCCTTGGCTTCTTCCGCTGCTTCGGGGCACAGGTTGGCCAGGCTGGCCAGCTCGAACTTGTGGAGCTTCTTCTGCAACAGCAGGCTGCAGCGAGGGAGGAAACAGGACACGATCAGACCACAGCAGCACGTGCACGTGAAGACGGCCCACTGCTAACCCGAGCACTTCCTGGTTCCTCTCCAGAACAGACATGCTTTAGTGTTGTGCATTTGATAAATAAACTTTGATTTGATTCCAATTTGAAAGGCAAAAACGTGACTCTCTAGGGCGGAAAGCCGATCCAGCCAGGGGTGGCCGCGGCCTGACCTGCGCACGCTGGCGATAGTCTCCCTGTTCTTGAAGCGGCTGAAGCGGGCCGTGTAGTTGAGCGTCTTCATGAAGACCTCGGACAGCTCCTGCTCGTCCTCCGCGCTCTCGTTCTGCTGCTTGCGGTGCTCCAGCAGCATGTGCACCTCCGAGTTCAGCAGCGTCTCGGCGTTCTCGAACTCTGCGGGGGGGGAGAGGAGGTGGGCGTGCGTTAGGGACACCAGCAGCAACACTTAAAAAGACGCCGGGTGCCGAGCGGCCCGATCCGTTTCGGGTTTTATCTGGACAACACTCATATTCCTATATCTGACTGCACAGTAAACACACATGCTGGCAAAAGGAGCCAGGGTCTCTTCTGGGTTTCTTTCCAGCTGAGCTCTGAATCACTAATTGGATAATTTTCCTGATCTCACCTCAGGGACAATTTAACGGCTTATAAAACTCGCAGGACTGTGGCTTTCCAAGACAAGGGTTACAGACCCTTACTGCAGGCCAACTTGTTTTCAGTAAATACTATTTTTTTTTGTCAGTAAGCCTAACTCCGCTTGATCGCTTTTCACTTCTGGTCAGCAAGAATTGCAGCCCTCAGGAGCCAGAATCCATTAGATTTCTTAGTGCTCTTCGTATCCTTAATGTCTTAAATAGGTCTAATTAAGCTTAGTATGATTAGTTCAAGTTTGGTCACTATGCGGAGGCGGAGGACAGCAGCTGTATGCGCACCACCGCTACAGAAGACCGTGTTATTTTATAGTATTCTCTATACCAGCATCAGTGAGGCCATTAAAACTGTTCAGGTCAGAAGATCCAATTTAATATTCTGCGCGGACTATCCCTAACCCTAAAAAATGTTAAGCATAAAAAGTTTTTTTAACTTTAAGACCCATTTCGTGCTTTTCATTTCCCCAGCAGTTCGGTGTTTACACCTCCACAGAGCACACGAATCCCCGTGGCGGCGGCTGGTACCTTTAGGGAAGAGCAGTTGCGAGGCGTCCTCCTCCACATCTCCGACCTGCGGGGGTCCAGTGCCTCCTCCTGCCGCCATCGTCCGAATCAAGACCCGGGGCAGCCTGAGTAGGCCCCAGCGACCACTTACAAACGGGTATCTGTAAACCAGAAATTATCTAAACAAATTGGCAGCGAAATTCAGAAAGGTTGCGTACGGAGATATGCTCAGAATGCAGACAACTGTAGCGCTGTAATTATCCCGGTACACTCAACAGCACGCATCGCCATGCCTGTCATGAACACCTAAACACAAAACAAAAGTATGATGGGTGAACTCATTGGGGCTTCACAAGACAGCGCCCCTGTCGGTTGGAGGTCTCACCAAGAGGCGGCATGGGCTGCAAAAGGTAATATTCCAATTCAAAGAGCTTTATTGGCATATCCGATGAATTACGGTGTTGCCAAGGCAGATGCAATTAATGCAACGCTACATACATTTAAATAATACAGACATCACATAAAACATTAATGTGAGACAGCATAACCCTGTTTTGTTGTTATTGCTGCACGTTTTTGCGGGGAGGAGGTATTCTGTTGCTTATGACTCTCTTGTTGTGAACTGTAATTTTAAATCTATTCTTCGCCCCCTGGATAGTACAAGAAGTATGTGTTTTTTATCGTCCATTGGCTGAATGTGAATCAGCGGTCAGTCTTTTTTAAATTCAAATTTGAAAAGAGCTTTATTGGCTTGACCGATGAGTTACAATGCTGCCTAAGCAGAGAAATAATTACACAACATTTACAGTACACACATAAATGTCCAATAATAACATATTTCATACATTACTAGAATTTAAAAACGAGGGGGAAAATATTGCTGCGTTGGCCGGGAATCGAACCCGGGTCAACTGCTTGGAAGGCAGCTATGCTCACCACTATACCACCAACGCTTGTTATCAGATGATGGTAACTATGGGTTAAAACAGTGCTGGCGCGGCCTTGGCGCTGTAAGTCCAGGCCTACAGCGACACCCAGCTGCAACCCTCTCGGAAGCGATACTGGGCCCGAGCGGAGGGAAACCGTTTCGCTTTGATCGGAGCAAAAATACTGAAACCCTCGTCATATGCGGATCCGGATCTCGCTGTGATTTTGAGTTTTCCTTGGTGAATTGTGGTTTGGGTTCTCACTAGGTGACACGAGAGTTTCTTTGCTGAAAAGGGGCAGAGGAGCGTTTCAGCTTTCCCTAAGCCTCAGGGGCTCAAGAAAAATAGCAGCCGCTTTTGTGTTGAGGGACCGAGCCCATAGCTCGTCTGTAAGACGGGATGGATTTGTTTGGAGACCTTCCCGAACCCACACAAACTACAGGTAAAGGATATCTGTCATTTGTATTTTATTTTTAAAACATACTTTGTATTTTAGGCTGTGTAGGAGACAGGGCACTTTGGTAGTAACTGGATTTATATAAGTAAAACTAATAAGCTTTTAAAATTCATAGTACCACCCTTTTCGTCGTTGATGAAAGTATTTTGATATGGAAAGAGTTGA